GGTTGGTTTTACATTTCATCACTAATTCTGCTCAGTATGGAGGACTTGTTGCAAAATGCTAAATCTGTCCATTGGTGAATATTCAGATACAAAGCAGAGCAGAGAAATACACAGATATTCAAAATATTTTTTTTTCATGTTTGAGTGAAAATTAGGTTTAATTTTGAGGTGAGTGTTTAATAATCACCAAAATGATTCTCTCTGCAGGCTGAATGAATTGAGAACAATTTCCAATCCTCTTGCTGTTGGACCATCAGACCGGAGGGTTGAGAGGCTGCTGAGGACCATCAACCTGCGACCTTCTGTGTCACCAGCTTTAAACACAGCCCCGACCTCTTCTGCCTTTCTGTCCAAGGCTGGTAAGACTGAGCTAGTCTCTCAGTATCTGCCAGTACAATGGGTTCCCTATACAGGCGAATAACCTCTACAACATTTACATGATTGATTTGAACTTGGTTCCTTCTTTGACAGTGGTGGACGAGGTTTGGAAGCAGCAGACACTGCTGCAGCTGCTGCAGATAGTGGAGTTGCCAATGCTGGACTGCATCCTGACTTCTCCTTCCAGGGTTCAGCCTCAGGCCTGCAGAGCTCCTCTGGCCACCCAGGACCTGGTTATCTCTAACACATGTCTGGAGAGAGAGCTGCCCGACACCCTTAACTTGCCCCAGTTAGTGCTCTGATTAATACTTAAAATATTTTTTCCCATTGGACATAAACTCATCCTGCTAAAATGCACTTGCAAAAATTATAGAGAAAATAAAATTAGATTATGCTCTGCAGTTCAGATAACAAATGTTTATATATTATGTATGTCTTGTACTTCTACTGTGACAGTGAAGTGACATTTTGCTCTCTTCATCACCTTTTCATTTCAGGTTTGATGGTTGGCTGTTGGCAGCAGCAGACTGCTTGGAGCTTTTCCCCGACCAGCTGATTGTGGTTGCAGGGGAACAGCTCAGCCAACAAGCCCCTGTAGAGGATGGCAACGCAGAGCAAATGGCAAGCCAGAAAAGGCTGCTCTTTGACACTATTTCCAAGTACTACAGTGGACAGGAAAAAGCTCCACTCCTCTCAGGACGCTACCTAGATATACATGCTGCGATTCTGAATCTATTGGGTCAGAGTTGAAAAGTTTTATAGTGATTTTATGATTAATGTGTGTCTCATCTTGAAAGTTTAGGAGATACATTTGAGAACACATTCTGGTATACTTTACTGGCACAGTTTTGTTCTAGTCATTCATGAAGATCAGTACTTTTCTCTGTCGGTGAGAATCTTACCTGTGTGTCTTGTTTCTTCTTAGATGAAGGGAAGGTGCCGGATGCCATAAGGGCATCTCAGTTGTGCTTGCGGCTACTGGAGACAAGCGTGAGAGATGAACTGCGGAGGCTACTGGCCCTCATGGCAACAGCAGCTCACCCTGATGCCTGCCGTCTGCAGAAACAAGTAGCTCGCTAGTCATCTTCTCCAAAACACACCACCAGCTCCAGCTTTTTGCCTACACTTTTAGAATAATAAAAAAGAAATAAAAGTTATTGAAAATAATTGAAAAAGCATATATGTTGCTAATTTCACTGAGTTTGTAGATGAGTGTAGCACTATTTGTAGTATTACAACCACTGTGAATAAGTGGTTAATATGTTGGCATCTATCATTGATTTTCTGGTATGTTTCCTTTCAGATTGATAACAGGGCCTTGGTCTGCCGCACTTTTCAGAAAGCAATTGTCCAGAATCATGAGCTGACTCGACCCCAGAGCGAAACCCTGGTACTGTTCCTCATGGACAATCACACTGAGCTCTTCAAGGTACACTTCTGCTCTTTCAGAATTATTTTGGAATTTCGGTATCACAAACATGCATTCTTAAAGACAGTGGAGAACTTGTACATATTCTGTAATCTTTGATGGAAAAATGAATTAGTCACTATAGCATAAAAAGATATATTAGATTTTTGAATTAATGCTCCACTTTATGTCAAGCTCTTTATGTACTATAGGCTGTAGGCCTACAGGCAGTTAATGATAGGTCAATTTAATTCTTCACAAGTTTGGATTCAACCTTTTTATATTCCTTTCTCTCTTACTTCCTGTTATGAATACAGACTCCTACATGTCTTATTGAAGCTGTGAGGAGAACACTGACGACTATGCAGCAGGGAAAAGACCCTGATTCGATTGCCAGTAAGTCAAATACAACTACAACTGAATATGCACACTCTGATGGACATTACATGTTACACTATCATTGTCTAACAACTCAGAAATGATACATCTATACAGAACCACTCAAAATGTAAAGTGTTTGTCCACATGGAGGCACTGTTGCTCCACACCAAAAACCACTCACTTCTGCGATCAGTGTGTGTTATGCTCCAGTCAGTCACCCTCTTCACTGTGCTTTGCAGCATTCACCTTCTGCCAGCAGGTGACACCACAGGAGTACGAGGACCAGCGTGAGGCTACCACCCTGGAGAGTCTCAAACAGCTTCTCCATGACATTTCCTCCAGCAAGCGCATGCCTGTCAAGGAGAGGAGGAGGCTGCTCAAAGAGTTTGAAAAACATCACCCTGTGGTTTTCCTCCAGCATTTCTCCAGTACCTTCTGAAACACAGTTAGGGGGTATTGGTTTGACTTCCAAGGTGCACTTCACAAAGCCAGTCTGAGATGGCAAAGCGCTTACACTGACAAATGATACTACTTAAATGCACATCGTAGATCTAATAAAACCTACTGACCATATAATTCAGGATGATTTAAAAACTGGAACACAGCCACCCCTCTAATCTCACCTAATGTCTAGTATGTATAGATGGAGTGACAGTACGGCTATTCCTATAATAAATATAAATGGTGTTGCATGACTGTAGCCTGTTCAAAGTAATTTAAATCTCAAGGGGCTAGAGTAGTTGAGGTTTTAATTGTAGTTATGCTGTTAACTTTTTTATGTCCCATAGCACTGGGTCTGTTATCTGACTGATGAACTGTTTGAGATATAGGTCTATTTGTTGAAGGAAACGGGCTTAACTGTAGCTGTGACTGGTTTTGCACTAGTTTATAAACAATTACTTATCAGTTCATCTGAGATACCAAGTGTTTAAATAGGGGGTAGTCTGTGGGCTGTGTAAACTCTAGCTGTTAGTAGCAGCTGGCATTTGTTGTAGAGTTTTTTTCAGTTCAACACTGGTGACACTGATTTTATGTTGTAGAAATGAATAATGTTTAAAGGATTGTTGCATTGTTCTGAAATTACCATGAAATAAGAGTAAGTTATAAAAATGATAAAAGGGATCACTGTAATAAAAAAGTTTCTTCAGCCATTTAGCTAGCTGTAGTCAGTGTACAGATAATGTTCTAATTAATGTACTTGTTGCAGGTATTTGGATAAAGCTAATGCTTAATTATCCTAATTACCCTTATGAGTTCTAATTTAAGAGAGGTTGATTGGGTCTTTGGAAATGGAATTGTTTTCAGAAGTAATGCTGTGCACTTGATCAGGCATTAATATTTCTACATATCAAATGAAGAAAAACAATATTATAGCTACCATTTTGTTTCTTGTTTTGGGTTTTCTGTTTTACTGTAGCATGCTATAGTATTGTCGAAGAAAAATACTGAGTATACACAACACTAATACAGCTGAATGAAGTGAAACAGTATGTAATGTGTTTTTGTTTGAGATGAAGCACAAAGTTTGTTTGTTTTTTTTTGGTGAAAAGTTTAACTTGAAATTAAATATGAAATGAAAGTAGAAAGGGTACAAAAGTGTGCTAGGCTAACCGTAGCTCAGGTTAATATATTTTGATTTTATGGGTATTAAATGCTTTTAGTGCCAGTAACTTGGTCAAGTATCTTTTAGCTGTAACTTTTTAGGATTTTACTTGAAAAAGGCATAAAAGATACTAATTTAATCTGTGGTAAAGCACAGTGCTCCAGTTGGATTTTATTCTTTTAACTGACAAAACTGGTCAAACAAAAAGTAATTTGCAGTCAAATCTCATGTCAGTCAGCATCTTTTGTTTTTTGCAAACACTGAACTCATGTTAGGTTGCACTTTATGATGCTGAACCATGCTTTACTTTCTGTTGAAATAACACGTCTAATAAAAGTTTAATCGATCTTAAACAAGATGTTCCTGTTTATATTCTTTAGTGTGTGCATATCCTCCTTGGGGAGTCCATACACCTTCAGGTGTCCTTGAAGTGGTTATAAGGAGTACACTAACCTGAGAAACAGTTTGGTCACACATTTCATGCCATGTTAGACCAAATTATGCAACCCACTGATTACGACTATCAGTTAAATAACAAATGCAAATTATTTCATCATACTTTACACATGTACACATAAATCATTTTTGTATGTTACAAAATGCTGCATATTTTTAAGATAGTGACACAAATTTTCCTTATTTTGTACTTTTTGTATTTGTTTGTGTGCTGCTGACAGACCTATACACTACAGTTTCTACAATTGCATGTATTACTAAATACTAAATAGGTAGGGTGCACAAACTTATGCACATGCCCTAATTACTGTTGTGTTTTTTTATTCGTAACATCCTGAAATAAAAAGTAACAGTATACTAGCATTTCTAATGCCGGTTTTCTGCAGGGCCTGTATTGACTGTTTCTCACTTCAAACACCAACATAATATGTAATTTAACCAAGGCTCCACAAACATTTGCATACAACTATAATTGTAATTTTGTAATGAAGAAATTTGATGTGCAGTTTATTTTTGAATACTGTAGAGTGGTTGCAAGTGTGTAAAAAAAACACTGAGATGACGTTGATGCACCTGACGGCATTAAAAAACCCGGAAGTTGGGTTGTTCGTTCACTAGCGTAGCTAACTCATTTCGTATGCTACTGGAAGACATGGGGGCTGTGTTTAACAGCTATTACTGACAGCGCGTCTGCTGAGAGTCCACATATCACAAGAAATAAAACGGAGAGCCCTTTTCATATCAAGGTAAGTAGCTGGATGGTGTCGGAGTGAAAGTTTTGGATTGAAACAAACGGTCTTTGACTATAATAACAGCGGTGACAGTAACGTCACTGTCTAGTTGCGCGTTGTTGGCTAGTTAGCTTGGGTATGTGACTACCGTGATCTGTCTGTGGAAAAAAGCCATTCACGGATTACAACGATGATGTCAGTGTTCTGACCTACAAAGGTAGATAATAGGTTAAAAGAAGGTTTGGAAAGATAGTTGTTAACGGCTAACGACAGTGTCACGGTGATGTGCTAGTTTTGATGTGTGCGTACAGGCTAAACCATACGGTTAACTCAGCTAACATCAAGGTATTTCCCAACCAGACATGATGACAGTCACGCGAAGCGACAAATATAACATTAAAATACTTCAATCCGGAGCAAAGATATGCTTTAATCTTCTGACGTGAATATTGCGTCAAAATAAAGTTATAAACCTGGTATTAATAAACTGTTTGGTATCTGGCGGCTAACATGCTAATGACTGTGCTAGGCTAGGTGGGCTCTGTGGTGCAGGTGGTTTGGTGAGGTGAATGTCCAAAACACTGCTCTCACAGTTTACCTCTTTTCATCTGGCCACTAGCTGGCAACTGGTGTCGATAGATGTCAGTTCGTGTAAAGTAAATTGACTGCCATCGAAAGATAACATTAAAGCAATGTCGGTACTTCTTCGGAAAAACCCTTCAAACTTGTTGCCGACAAAAGCTTTGTTGGCTCACGCTAGGGGAAATATTTAACACAATATTGTTTAATAATTAAGACTTATGGCCGTAGAGCTGCATCTGGTATATACTGATTCTTTTAGCTTTGTGGCTGTAGCCCTTGTGTCCATCACGAAATGAATAATGAGCAATGACACAGTTATGCTACAGTGTTGACTGCTGATTCCCCCATAGCTGAGTAATTCAGGCCAGAAATACCTGCTATGTCTATGAGCTCAGTTGCACATCTTCTAATGAGGCAACATTGTTTTGGGTGAGGCACAATTAGATCTGGCTGTTCCAGAAAATGTACAAAATTAGGGAGAGAAGGGGACTGAGAAAACCTGCCACACTGATATAAACATCAACAAAGCTGACAGCATCAGATCCAGCCAGGCTAATTGATAGACTCAGTAGTTTTATGTACCCTTTATTTGGCTGGTCACATATTGTTACAGCAGTTGGCACTGGCTGAGCATACACAAGCTTAAGAGAGGTACTGTATAGTACTGCATAGTAACATTATATGTACAGCACAAGCAGGGGTTCTTATTAACAGAATTGGTCAGAGTGGGTGTTGACAAGAACCTACAAATTTGGATATGTATTCAATGTGCTTTGATCCATTTTGTACTGACGGCTAACCTTTTATGCAGGTATCTGTACAGCATTAATTATGCAAACTGTACAGTGTGCATCTTGTTGTATATAATAATGATATATATCTATATTGGTATATATTAGAAAGCTTATTCAGCTGTGTTTCAGTGCAGTGAAATAAACAGTACCAGAAAAACAAGTACCAGAAGCCCACTCAAGACAGATAAAAAAGGATGAAGAAGCAGTTCATTATTATTTGGCCATATTACCGTCGGCCATGTTCTTTTGTCTGACTTCCTGTTGCCTAACATGCTTTCAAGCCACTGAAGTATTTTGAAAGAGAGCCTAACTAGTGTGCTTGAGTTTGCTCTGAATCGTGTTATATTTCTGGGGACAGCTTGGGCTATTATGGTGCTTATTCTCCTCAGCCAGCACAGACCAGACGCTGGTGCCACTTTGATGTGCAAATTTTCAAGCAGGTGCATTAGAGTGCATGTCTAATGGATTGTTGAAGGCTTTTGCTTAGCTAGAAAGGGTTAGGCTACAGCTGTCTCTTTCAGTGATAGCAAAAACTTATTGTCTTACTGGTCTAGGTCTATAACTCTTAGTTAAAACCTGTATATAAATGCTTACCTGTCCTGGACAGTCTCTCATCTGCCACTGTCACCTTAGCTGCCAGGTCAGGCCTGAACATGGAATCCATGCTGAACAAGCTAAAAAGCACTGTCACTAAGGTGACAGCAGATGTCACCAGCGCTGTCATGGGCAACCCGGTGACACGGGAGTTTGAGGTTGGACGACATATTGCCAGTGGGGGTCCTGGCATGTGCTGGAGGATCTACAATGGCACCAAGAAGTCCACCAAACAGGTGTGTGTAAATATCCGCTCCCTGATCAGACCAGCTCCAATTCAAGTTCAGACTTAGATGGATAAATAACTGATGGTGCTTCTGCTGTTGATGAAGTCAGCTGAGGACTTTCCACACTAGAAGTAACTTTCGCACTTGATATAGCTAATTTCAGCACCTTGTTGTTTGTCTTTAATCCTCCAGGAAGTGGCGGTGTTTGTGTTTGATAAGAAGATGATTGACAAGTATCAGAAATTTGAGAAGGACCAAATCATTGATTCACTGAAAAGAGGAGTGCAACAGCTGACCAGACTGCGTCACCCCCGTCTCCTGACTGTGCAGCATCCTCTGGAAGAGTCACGGTGATTAACACACATATACAAACACACACTCACAAATACACACAAACACTTATATCAAGGGCAAATTGAATGAGTCATACCTCTGAGAGGGGGCTTGACATTCAAGAGAAAAAAATTGATAACAAATCTGTTTGTCTGCCTCTGTGTGTGCATATGTGAGCAGAAGCTTGTCATGATCAAAAGAGTCTATAGATTATTCCATGAATAATGTACGGCCCCTGGCAAAATAAGGTTGAGGCTTTCTTGTGCTTCCTTTTTTTATACTACTGTTTTTTTTTTGTTTTTTTGTTTTTTTGTTTTTTTGCTTCCACCCAGGGCAGTTCTCACTTCACAGTACTTTTCTGTCTCTCTTTTTGCCTATCGTCATGTTGATAATCGTCTCTTTCTCTTCAAGAATAACTTAACATTTAAAAAGCAGTTATTTGATGTTATTTCTTGTGTGTGGCCCCTCAGAGACTGTCTGGCGTTCTGTACAGAGCCGGTGTTTGCAAGTCTGTCCAATGTGCTGGGCCAGTGGGACAACCTGCCCAGCCCCGTGCCCAACGACATCAAGGAGTACAAACTCTATGATGTGGAGACCAAGTATGGCTTGCTACAGGTGAGAGTGCAGACAGGTTAGGTTGCAACTAAGTATTTTTATTATTGATAAGTGACCACTTATTTTCTTGATTAATTCTTTGCTCTGTAAAAATGTCATATCTATGAATGTTTATAAAAATGCACATCACAATTTCCCAGATCACAGGTTGACATTTTAATTGCCTTGTGTTTCCCCACCAACAGTCCAAAACCCAAAAAGAATTGGAACCTGTTGATTTTCAGGATTAGAAAAAGTTACAGAAATAAGTTATCAAAATTGTTGCCGATTAGTTTTCAGGTTAGTTGACTAATCAATCATCAACTGTTTAAACTCAAGCTTGATGTGTCAGGAACTTTAAGATTCCTTTTACCAAAGGACCTCTTTTGGAACCCAGTGGTCACACAACATACAATGCAGACACAGTAAAACACATAGGAAACTATAATAAAGAAAAAAATTTGTATTTAGTGTATACATTATATAATTTTTTTTCCCCCTTGTAAACCATCTACCTCTGTACACATCATCTATGACACAGTAATCACATTCATTGTCCAACAGTAAGATAAATATTTTCAAATAAGAACATGGTTCTTAGTTGTCGAGCAGGTTTTAATTAACCAAGTAGTCGACATTGGGAAGTCCAGCATGCATTCATATGCTGTTGCTTCACAAAGTTAGTTTTACGTGCCCAATTCCACACCTCACCTTTCAGTGTCATGCTGTTGTTTGACATGCTGCAGTGTCAGTTAACTTTTTGCCAGCCTGTATTTTACCCATCTCCCTCCTTTTTGTCCCTTTAACCCACATTGGTCGTAATTTCTGTTTAACTTACTTTTTTCATTGCTTGTATAAGTTATTTAAAGGAGGACATTTATAGCCGAGAGGCCTAGAAAATACCTGTAATGTTTATCATGGATTAGATAGGGTTATGGTTACACTATTTATTTTGTAATCCTATAATTATTACAGAATCATGGTCACCTTTTCATACGTCAGTTGAGACATGCCAGATCCAAACTAATTCCTGGCTGTAATGTGTTGACCCATTCACACTGATGGCAAATACAGGTTTATCCTGGGTGTTTGCCCTCGTTTGAAATGCGTATTGGTTTACCTTTGCTGCAGTGTTTGTCTATAATCCTGATGAAGCGAGTGAAGTGCCAAACTGTTTGCACCTAAATGCAAACAATGTGCTTGTATCTATCATACTTTTAATTTTTCCTGACATTTTCATTTTTCTATCTCTTCAGATCTCGGAGGGTTTGTCCTTTCTCCACAGTGGGGTGAAAATGGTCCATGGCAATCTGTGTCCAGAGAACATCATCCTCAACAAGAGTGGAGCATGGAAGATCATGGGCTTTGACTTCAGCATCTCCTCTACAAACCCCTCAGACGCAGAGGTATCAGCAGGAGTTTTGTTCCCTCAGTTCAGCCTGTCAGGCAGGGCTTCGACCCAAGCTTACTGCCTGCAAGAGGCTCTACCAAACTGATGTCTAGCAGTGCTGTCACATCTTTATGTTCTCATATCCTCTCATCCCCTTCAGCCCAAGTACACATGTAAAGAGTGGGAACCCAACCTCCCTCCACTCTGCCTCCCCAACCCTGAATACCTGGCACCTGAGTATATCCTGTCTGTCAGCTGTGACTCTGCCTCTGACATGTACTCGCTGGGCGTGGTCATGCATGCAATCTTCAACGAGGGCAAGCCTGTTTTCCAAGTCAACAAGCATGACATTTTTAAGAGCTTCAGCAGACAGCTGGACCAGGTGAGTAGAGGTGTGCGAAATGTGGAAGCCTGAAAAATGACAGTGAAGGCAGATGTCTTGTCCAGAGTTGATTTGATTTTTGGAACAGGAACATGTTTGAAATAATTCTGATTGCTGTGATTTGACACACGCTCAGATCTGCTTCCCCAAGTAATGTGTAATTGATATTTTTTTATAAATCAAGTTACTTGGCACATCACAGCTTCAATAGAAATAACAATTGTGTGCCATACCTCAAGAGTGTCAACCACTGATTTTTAATTTCTCTTCCTCTTATGTTCTACTCCATTCTCCACTCTACTTAAAATTCATCATTTGTGTTTTTCAATTGCAGCTGAGCAGCATGAGTCCAGCACTGCTGAACAAGATCCCAGACGACGTGCGGGAGCATGTCAAAATGCTGCTCAGTGTCACGCCCAATGTCCGGCCAGATGCTGACCAGATGACCAAGGTTTGCATTGTTATTACATGCATGCAGATGCGTTGAAATGATCTTGTTCACTGATATTGTTTTTGTGCATGTGTTGGAAATATTTTCTGGCTTTCGTTTGATGACGCATTTCTTTTTTTTCCCATGTTTTGTGGAATTCAGATTCCATTTTTTGATGACGTGGGTGCTGTTACTCTTCAGTACTTTGATTCCCTCTTCCAAAGGGACAACCTACAGAAGTCTCAGTTCTACAAAGGCCTCCCCAAAGTCCTGCCCAAACTACCCAAGGTAAATGCCTGTAGATTTTGTAAAGGAAATGCAGTGTGCCCTGCAAATTTAGTCCTGAATGCACATGTACTGACAAACAAAGCTCTTAGTGTTCCCATATCAATTAGAACACAATTAGAAAAATGTTCATTTTTGTATAAACTTTAACACTAACTCTTACACACAGACTAGCTATTGCGACACAAGTTCTAGTACTGTTTCATGGAAAGAATTCTGTTATTTTTGTTTATGTTTCGTTTTGCTTTTTCTCTGTTCTTTGTTGAACATGCAGTATTACAGTTTGAAGTCATCTTTAGCTGCTACTTCAACTCATTCTTATTTTGCGTTCTCACAGAGAGTGGTCGTGTATCGAATCTTGCCGGCGTTGACCTCTGAGTTTGTCAACCCGGACATGGTTCCCTTCGTGCTGCCCAACGTGCTGCTGATCGCCGAGGAGTGCACCAAGGAGGAGTATGTTCGTCTCATCTTGCCTGACCTCACCCCTGTTTTCAAGCAGCAAGAGCCTATTCAGGTAGACAACCATGAAACACTTGGCATGTGCAGTAGGCTACCAACTGGTTGTTCTAGTGGCTGTACTATTATAATTAAAAGCATTTTTTGCTAAGCTAGCAATGCACTCAACGGGATATGTTCTTAGCTCATGTGTCTTTTAAATAATCCTCTGAAAAAAGTAGTTTTCTCTTCGCATGATGTTTTCTCCCCTGGCAGTTGTGTGATTGAGAGTTTGAAAGTGAGATTAACCAGTTAAATACAACTGAAGAGCATGCTGTTTGGGTTCAGTCTGTTACTTTATCAACACTTGTCTTTCTCTGTATCTTTCTTTCCATGCCTCCTCAGGCTAGTAATATGGTGAGTGGTCTTTGCTGTGAATATGCTCCACTTACATTGGCTAGTGTATGCGTTGTGTTGTTGGTGTTGTACTACTAAAAGCTCTACTAAAGCCACTGCAATCACAGTCTGTGCTCATTTTCACTTACCACCATACTCATGAGTAGACGATAGGATAGTACTCTCTTGCTTTTGACTCTTGTTTTTCTAACTGGGTCCCTGTGCTGTCCAGATCCTGCTGATCTTCCTGCAAAAGATGGACCTGCTACTGACCAAAACACCGCCGGAGGACATTAAGAACAGCGTGTTGCCTATGGTCTACAGAGCTCTGGAAGCCCCTTCTGTACAGATCCAGGTACAGCTACTCAATATTAACTCAATACGGTCAGTTGTAAATCCTTTACCAGGGAGGTGACCACCAGATCAACTGCAGATGGTGCCAAACTTTTCCAGTGGAAGTTGTCTTCATCATCATTATCAAATAAGTCATGACTGAAGCAGCTATTGCATACTTGATTTTTGACAAAGCCAGATGCTGGATCAAAAATATTTTTAGGCCTGTTTTAGACATCACGAGTTTGAAGCATAAGTAAATATTTTTAGCATTCCACTTGGAAACCTTGGAACATTTTTTTTTTTTTTTTTTTTTTTGTCACCTGCTGATACTCTTCGTCTCTTTTTAGTGTTATCTTGAGAGAACAGTAAGAATGGATGCTGTATTTGGCATCATAAAAATGTCATATTTCATAACATCTTATCTGCGGCCGAGCAGGAGCTGTGCCTGAACATCATCCCGACATTTGCCAACCTGATTGACTACCCGTCCATGAAGAACTCCCTCATTCCTCGGATCAAATCAGCCTGCCTACAGACCTCCTCACTAGCTGTGAGTCTTTATCAGTTATTCTCTGCTCTCAGCTTGTACCCGCAAGCTATCTGCTTCCACTAAAGTTATATTTTTCTTTAGTTATGTCTTTACTTTTGCCCTCCCCCTCTCTAAAATTATATTCTTACTTCCACCACTGCCTACAACCAACTGTCTTACCTCATTTAAACAGTATATGTATTTTGACTTTGTCTATATATTTATTTTCCTTTGTCACTGTATAGGTACGAGTGAACTCTCTGGTGTGTCTGGGGAAGATTTTGGAGTATCTAGACAAGTGGTATGTCATTGATGAGATCCTGCCCTTCCTGCAACAGATCCCCTCTAGAGAACCAGCAGTACTCATGGGCATTCTAGGTAAAGGAACTGGACTCTCTCTACTCCACCTCTCAAACAGTTGAGCTGCCTCTTGATTTACTTAATGATTGGTTATTTAACTTCCTTTATCCTCACTTTAGGAATCTATAAATGCACCTTCAGCCACAAGAAGCTGGGCATTCCCAAAGAGCACCTTGCCACCAAGAGCCTGCCCCACCTTGTCTCTCTTAGTATAGACAACAACCTCAACCTGAATCAGGTAGTACGCGGCCAACACACCTTTTTTAAAATTACATCTCCCAGGAAATCTGTGAAAAACACATCTTATTTTCTTCATCTTTTTATACCGCATTATGTTTTTGGGTTGTCCCTTCGTTCCATTCTCATCAACGTGATATCTCAGTACGCCTTGAGGGAATCTCTTCAGATTTGGGACAAACATTCACTTGGACTCAAAGTGAGCTGATCAGATTTTGGTGGTCAAAGTCACAGTGACCTCTCAAAACACATTGTTGTCCATAACGCACAAATTCATACGCTAATTATGATGCAACTCAACATAAATGTCTAATAAAATAGAATGATGAAGTGATGACGTTTTATATCCAAATGGTCAAAGGACATCATAATATGACATCATAATGTTCTGGAAAAACTCTTCTGGCCATTATTCAGCACTGACTCAGAAAGGGGAGATTGTGACCATATGTCCTGCAACTTGGCTGGAGGCATGAAAACTGTGAGGCAGTAATTGTAGTTTTTTGTGGTTAATGCATTTTGTATCATCTGCTTAATCGTATTTAAGTTTCCTCTTATCTGCTATAATCTGATACATTCTGTGTTTCAGTTTAACTCGTTCATGGTGGTTATACGGGACATGCTGAGTCGCATGGAGAATGAACACAAGACCAAGCTGGAGCAGCTGCATGTCATGCAGGAGCAGCAGAGGTATCTGTGTTAATTGAATTCACCCTGTACAGTAGATTCTCACTTTGATTATTAATCAAGTAGACATCAATATTAATGTAAATTTTTAATACAAATTAGATAAGACGTCTGGGGTAATTGGATCTCCAATAGAAAGCAATAATCAGTCGCTACTGGTCACATGAATATGATAATGGTATGACTAACCAGGCTTGCTTTTCATTGTTGTCTCTTCTAACAGGAGTATAAACATTACAAACCCAGGGAACCAATCCGAGGAGACCAAAAGCCCACCAAGCTCTGGCAACCAGGTGAGAGGTCTATTCTATGTCAACCGAGTAACAGATCAAAGATCATGGGCATACTTACTGTGAGAGAAATATTTTCTTTTGCTTTAAAAGATCCTGAAAAGGCTGAAAATGTTTAGCTATCTGTGCTGCAGTGCTTCCATTTTCCATCTTGTTTTTCTTTCAGATTGACGATATCTTTGGCAGCACAGGGGTTAATGGGAAAGAGAATGGATCTGCAGCAGCAGCAGCAGCAGCAGCAACAACCTCACAGCCTAATAGAGTATGGGAATAATTTCACACCTCATTTACCACAAAATTTCACCTTTGCTTTTTTAGCATGTAGTCCAGTCTGTTCACTGTCTCTCTTGCTTTGAACCGCACTAGATGTCTCTGACTCTAGAGGAGAAACAGCGATTGGCTAAGGAGCAGGAGCAAGCAGCCAAACTGAGAAGCCAGCAGCCGTTAGCACCACAGACTATCAAACCAGCCACCACCACCAACTCACAGGTAAAGACTGCATACTTCAGTGCACACAGGCACACAGTCATCCTCAAACACTAATGGCTTGTGAAGCTAAATCTCACCCTGTTTAATGTTGCAGACTAAGGATCTGACCAGCAGCCTTCTCAACAACATGACATCGCTAAACAGCCTGTCCTTGGCCAACACAGCACGACCAGCCCCAGTGCAGGGCACCACCATCTCTGCCTTCCCCTCCTCCAGCCCCATGGTTGGCCCCATGGGTGCCCCAGTCTCTAATGGCTTCAACCCACCCATGGGCTTCCACACAGGAGCCATGGGGATGGGCATACGGCCCACAGGTCCTGGCCTCTATGGTGGCATGGCCACCACCACCAGCACCCCAAACTTTGGAGCACTCACACAGAATCAAGCACCCATTGGGCAGACAAATAAAGCCCCCGACTTGTCGGCCTTGGACAATCTTTTTACACCCAACAAGCCCAAAGTCACCCTCAACCAAATGGGTCCCACAGCCGCACCTGGACCCAACACCCCTTGGCTCAATCAGTTCGGTTCAGCCCAGAACGCTCAGACTCAGATGCAGGGTGCAACAGTAGGTATGGGAGGGGTACCAAGTGGGTTTGGGATGCAAGCAAACCCTTTTTTCAGCCCCCAGAACTTTTCTCAACCTGCCGCTGCCCCTAGCATGAACCAAAGTGGAATCAAACATAGTGCATCTGTCAACAATGATCTGAAGGACTTATTTGGCTAATTATAAATGAAAAGATGCCAGGTTAAGTATATTCTTTTAATAACTTTGGACAGAAGAGCCTTCAATTCTCACAGAACAAGACACTGATTGAATGTGAAGATTTAAAAATCGTTTCAAGGATGTTGCAGTCTGTGTTTTTAATCTAACCTGGTTTAAATTGTGAATCTTGCTCAACATCAGCCGGCAAGTCAGCCTGCACCTGAATTCCATTTCTACTTGATCAGAAGGACAAAAAGCTTTGGGAACTACTTCTTCTATGCTGTGTTCTTTAAGTGCTGGGGGTTTCCTACTGTTTTGTACTTGACATTCTTGGGAGTCCCAAAGTCATGGGTTGAGGTGAATCCCAACTCAGTTTATTCAGGAAGGTTTCGTGTTCATATCATGAATGACTGAGTGGATTGAGTGTATTTCACTTCCTGAACAAGTTGCATCAGAATCACCCTTCAGACGTGGCAGAACAAAGGATGGAACAAAAAAAATGGCTTCCATGCCACGCATCTGCTCAGTTTCAGGCTTCTGTACCTTTATCCTTCCTCCCGACTATTTTAGGATTTGCTGCATGTCTAAAGTGATCAGAGGGTTGGCTTAAAAACAAATACTGCATACACCAAAATGTCTTGAGCCCAGTGGGAGATAGCTTGAAGTGAAGCACCGACAAGCCTGCAGTCACTGATCTGCATCCAGGAGGCTCCTCCGTGGAGACAGTCTGAAAGGGGGTGTAGAAAACCGACAGCCCAGCAGTTGCGGTTTTAGTGGGGCAAACAGAGTAACCCCTCTGCAGTCCGTATCCATGGTAACTGTTCCTCTGCAGCACTTCCATTTTGAGAACAGAAATTGGACTTATGATCCAGTCTGGTCTTCATTGTTTCCCCCTTTGGACTCTTTCTTTTAGTGTTTTCTTTTTTCTTTTTTTTTTTCTTCCATCACTTCATTTGATGTTTAAGCAAACATGTTGAAAACAGAAGGGTTAGTTTTGTCTGGTCAAAGTTGCTGACAACCATTTCACCTCCTTTTAGTAACAAAAAATGATCAGTTTCTATAAATGCAGTATGAATGACTCATGTGTCTGATAGTGGCTTAGGATGTGTGTAGTAGCTATTACAGCAGTGTCCTTTTTAACAAGACGCTAATGCAGAAAGCGATGAAAAAGGACCACATGCGCTGCTTAGGCTATTGTGCCTTACATGGGTACATGTGTAAAGCCACAGACAGCTTTCATCTGTAACTCAAGTATTAATATTTTCCCTCTTAATCCGCTGTCTGAAGTATGCTTTTCAAATTACTTGCTTTATTGCATGTTACTGAACTTGACCACTTTTTTTCCCCTAATGATTCCTAAATATTCCAGTGACCAATGATGTTTTATTTCACACATCCAGCTCCAGGATTGGCTCTGGTGAGGTTTGTGAAGGAGCTCTGAGTCCTCCAGTGTACCATTTCTGTTGATCAATTTGTACAGTGAAGAAGATATCACTATATATTTTGATTTCAGCACTTTCCAGCTGTCAGAGGATCTGTGCTGGTGACATGTTATGAAGTGTAAATATATAGTTATTTAAAAAGCTATTGCTCTGTGAGGGCGTTGGCATTTCTATGTTCTTGTGATAATGGTTAAGAGGCCTTAGATGAGTCGTGTGCAATAATCCTTATTGGTTGTTGAGGGTGCATATCGATTGGTTTAAGCAGCTTTCGGTGTGTCCATACCTTCATCTCCACTGACTTACAATAACTAATAATAGGACTGTCAGATTTTCTAATCTGCTAAACATCGACGTGTACTCATTCTAAATCTTACATTTTTGAAGGAAATGACACCATTTTAGGGTTTTTAGATGCACCTTGGTCACACTGTGTTTCTGCTGACAATGATTGTTGTTAACATGCTGAAGTGTAACGTCTTTTACTGAATTAACTTTTGTTTCTGTGTAACAATGCCACCCATACAAGGTGAGCTTTCTCTCCGGCCGCATGGCAGTGTTAACGCGCTTGTGAATTTGGCTCTTCAGGTTCTGTTCACTTCCTCATTTATGTCATACATGACTAGATGACTGTGATTGGATCTTTTTTTTAGTCTGTAGATCAACATATACTGTGTGGCAAGTTTTGATTTGGTCACAAAATGGGATGTGATCTTTGGAGCGTGTGTCACATATCCTGGCAGATCCCCAAAGCAGAAAACTAAATCTTATTCTTCTACAAGATTGTTTGTATACTACTGCTGTCATATATGTGTAGTGTGGCCCGTGTTTTATGTGTTAAGGTGCTGGTTTCTGAGGTGGTTCAATGAAAATCTGTACATATAAAGGAAAGTACACAATCTACTCTCAGAGCATGGTCATTATTTGTGCAACGATATACAAACACAAATTTAATTTAGAAAAGAAAAACAAGCCAAAGTGTGCTGATTACATGGCAGTATTAAGGGAACATTTCGATATTAACATGCACAATTTAATAGGCAGTATCACATGAAACATCGAAGTTAACTTCCCTTTGGTTTTAGGTTTAAAGTGGTATCTTGTAGAAAGGTAAACATTGAAAACCGTTAAAAAGTGCACTGATTACTGACTGAATCTTTGGTTTGAGGTTAAAAATGATCAAAGAAATTAAGGGAAAAAATGCATTCACAACAATTTAGATCAGATGCTTTTGGAACAGGACAAAGTGCATTATACTCACAGACACTGCTGAATTAAGATTTAAGTCTTCCCTGACACCTTTTAGTAAATATCCTATGTTTAAATAACTGCTGTGTAAGATCGTCCAGACAGCAGACAGAGGAGGCAGCTTGTGAAAAACATTACTGAATGTTTCCAGTATGTGACCTGAGGCAAGCAATTGGTAAAATCAACATTAAGTTATCCCGACCTCTGATTCTGTCACTGGTTAAGTCGTCGCACTGACCTGGCGGTGCATGTGGACAGGTTTCTCTGGGTCATGGCTGCAAAAGACATGAAATATCAGTCTGAACCTCAGCTCTACAGAATAATCCTTTACTGTAATATTGTGACTTATTGTGTAGACGTCCCTGTTTTCAGCTCACCTGAGAAGTCCAGCTCATAGCTGAAGTTCTTGGCGGTGAATTTCATTATGCCTGATGGGTTCTGTTGGTACTGGAGCTCGATGTCCTGACTGGAAATGCTGCAGTGACGATATCCCTGCACGACACAGAGAGCAGCACCGAGGAAATGCACGTAAGAAACGTACCGTTAAAGTCTGGCTAGCTCACAGAATGCTTGTTAGTCTTTATCTTATTGACTGTTATTTACACATCAACAGAAGAAATGAGTGTCTTACTTTGGAGTAATCCTTCCATATTCCACCGATATCTTGGAACTGCCATCGCGGCATCGTGCTGGAACTGAAGAGCAGAAGAATCAAAGTTGAAAACACTTACAGTGGCATACACATATTTTACAACTACACTCTACACACACTGCTGTTCAGTGAACTGAGCTGGCCAGGCTATGCAGATTTGGTGTAGAGCTGATATAGATAATATATTGTATACTTTTATGTAGTTTTTGTAATTTGTAAAGCAAAGGGAAAGTCATGTACCCCTTAAATTGTACTTAATTTGTTCATTAAGAGCTTTCTTAAGTAAGGTGCTTTTAAGGGCTTTGGTTTACGCCCATTCAAATGAATGGACAAATAAGGGATATTTTGCTACTGGTTAAGGTGTCTGGCATGTTTTCAGGAGTAAATTGAGGATTGCTGTGTTTTGTATATTCAAGTGTTCTGGTTTCATGGTGAAATGTTTCTCCTGACCTGCTGTTCTGTTGGTTGCCGTAGTTTAAAGTCCTCCTCACTGTTCTCGTAGTCCCGATTTGGTTATTGACTTGACACATTCCTATATATATATAAAAAAAAAAAAAAAAAGTGTTGAGAATGTGTCCGTTTTGGTTCGGCAGAAGAGTAGCTTAGCAGTTGTCTGCCTGTGTGTGTGTGTGTGCGTGCGTGCGTGCGTTACTTGGAAAATCCAGCGTGTACGAGTATCTCTTGATCTTAAAGTGTAGCTGGCCCTGTGGGTTCAGCTGGTATTGTGTCTCAATGGCAGTGCTGTCAAACGAACATATCTACACACAAATAGAAACAGGCACAAATAAATCCACTGTGGAGAGGAATACACATAATCCCTGAAGTGCAGAATGAGATTCTGTGCGCCAGCTGAAAGCAGCTGTACCTCAACACACTTCATTCTGAATTCATTACAAAGAATTAATCATCTTAGAGGTATTTTCAATTTGACCACTAGATGCCACTGCTGACTCTGACATTATTTACCAAGAGACAAAAAGGAAGAATGAAAGTTGAATATCTCTATGAGACAAAGTTAAGTTTCTGCTTCGACTACTTGAAACTGTTGGATGCCCTACTTACATGTGCTTGGTATTCTGTCCATTCCCCCTCATCTCCCATGAATTCCCACTTGTAGCTTCCATCAGCGGGCTGGGAGGAGGAAGCTGAGGGTAAGACTAAGGTGGAGTACAGGCTGCAGAGAAATGAAGACACCATCACACATGTTCAAACCGATATAGAGGGGCTTTTAAGGGGCTTATCTGCAGTGAGGCTCCATGAGGATTCGAATATTGCTCAGAGGTTTTTTTACTTTCCTAACTATCGTCTATTCATCTAGACTCTATATACTGACTTAAAATTCTGTTTGCTGAGGCTGTTTGTCAGTGGACAGCTCAGTAGATTAAGGCTGATCTATTTGGGGTACAGAAGATGCAAACAGTCGATGCAGGGAAGAAACATTTTTGGAATCCTCTTACCTCCCGGTGCTGGAAGTGAATTTTGGTCGCCTGCGTACATTCCTGCACAAACCTGTGATGCAGTTTGTTTGGGTCATGGCTGCAGAGTCAAACACCATCAGTTAGATTTAGCTCGGTAAAGACACATTCATTGAAATTAACTAGCTCACACAAGCAAAATCGCATACTGGAGAAGTCGAGTCTGTAGCTTGTAGAGCCCACTGTGAAGGTGAAGGCTCCCTGAGGGTTGAGAGTGAACTGATGCTCAATGTCTCTACTGCTGATTGATGAGGACAACATGGTGGAGCCCTGAGGAAGAGGAGAAAGGGGAGGAAGACTAATCAAGTCTGCACATGGAGAATTTGTCAAAAACCTAGACCATCAAATGAATCTGAGGCTTCATGCCAAAGATGCTCCTCACCTGGGATCCATATTCACGCCACAGCTGATCGTCTCTGAAGTACCAACCCACGTCCTGTGTTTGGCCCTGAGGTACGAAGCTCAGTCTATGAACGTTTAGACCTGTGTTGTGAGTCTGCAACTTATCAAAGTCAATGAACACCGGCCTGTGAAGACACACGATTCAGTTTCAGACGTTTTTTAGCGGCGTCAGTGATGTAAAAACTGACATTAGCCAAACCTTATCTGCAACTTTACGATCCAATATTTCCACATTATACCTAAGTGCTTCCTGAATACAATACCTGAACTTTAAAGTGATTTTTAAAGTTAAAATCACATCACTAACCCATGGCTAGTGTTGATGGTGATTCCTTTAGCTCCAGGTTGGCAGTAGTGGGTCTCGATCACATGGTCATTATCAATTTTGAGCCACTGATGTCCATCTGACAGCTGCCACTCATAATGTTTCCCACTGACTGTAAAATAGAGGAACAAAAGTTCTTGTTATAGATGTGTGTTCTCTAAAAAAAAAAAAAAAAAAAAACCCCTGACAAACACAGGTGTCCAGCTGTAATCCAGCCTGAGCCCGGTTAATGTTTGACACTGACTGTTTATGTCTTTATCTTTTACTGGTGCAGGTGTGGCGATAATTACTGCTGAATGTACTTGTATCATAGAAACATTCAAATGGCAACCTAAATATTTTTCCATACATTACATACAAGCATTTTCTCTAGGCAGCGAATGAAGAAGGGAAGTATGTAGAATGAGAGCGCACCATAACCTGGGCTGCAGTGGTAAAGTAAAGGATGGGTGAACCAACCTTACTTCAGCTACTCACGCAACTCAAACACTTATACATTATATATTATACTTTTACTATTATATAAATAAAAATAAAAATTACTATAATTAATTTGTTTAAACTTCTCAAATAACTGAACAGTTTTACTTAGATGGAAAATATGTGCTTTGTTTTTTTCAAATATTTCAGTCTTTTGTGGTTTTTAGAGAAATGTAATTACTACCTGAACTAAACTGACTATATTCTTGCTTTCAATTCATTGTTAGTCGCTGAAGATAAGAGAGAATCAGCTAAAAGGCTCAATCGCAGGCCTACAAGTTAAAACAGTAAAAGTAAAACAGCAGGAACTTCACTTGTCTTGTGATACAGACCTGGAGTCTCCTGGAAACCCCCTTCATCTTCATTGTCCTGTAAGACACAGATAGAAAGAGTGTAGAGAGCACGAAGACACCCTTGAAAACTTTAAGGCAGATAAAAATCAGTCAGACTGATCCAGTAATCTAGACTCACCATGCTCTGAGGAAAATACACTGTAATAACAAAAAGGCAAATCAAACAAACAGCGATAATAATGTCTTTACTTGCGGTTTAGATGAAAACTTTATATCGTTTCATTAAAGTCCCATTTACTTACTCGTACTCGGACATCGATGTAAAAAGTTTCATTTCACAATAAGCGACGTCTTTCACTTTCGTTTTCGTGCTCAGGCCCACAAGAGTGACGTCTGTGATCACAGTGATTTACGGTCATTACAACTACTTTCTTTGTTTTGGTAGATGCTAATTACAACATTAATCACAGTTTGATAGTTGTGCATTTACATTTGGCCATGTGAGTTTTCGTTTGCATTGTACCAGTCAGACAGTACAGCTTTACTTTACATAAGGGACACAGTAGATGAGTTACTGGGTGCAGGAAAACTAAACTGAAATTCACCTGTGTCTTACAGACTCAAAAAAAACCCAGGATGTTTTTTGTTAAAATTTGCAATTGTGTTTTTTTATTGTCCATTACATGATATTCAAAAGCAGAATACATATGAGGCAAAAAATAAATCTTCCAATACTCAGAGAAAAATAATATGAGCTGAAGGACTGTAGATCCACAATCACAGGGATTTGATTGAATAATGCAGCCACCTGAGTTACAGCTTCAGAGGTAAAACACCTTGAAGGTCATGTGCAAAATGGCCTTCAGTTTGCACTATATTTGGCTTACAGTCAGTCACAGCAGAAAAGGCAGTGGGTAGATATGTAAAAAAAACATGTCTGATCATTTATGAAATGTGTGTGTTTGTACCATAGTTTATTTTCTTCCTCAGATTTAGCACCCTGAAATAATTGCATCTCTGTGCTATGGCAGTGTGTAGGGAGTAATGTCGTTTAATGAGACGTATCAAAGTGGAGATCATGAAAAATTCAGTTTTTAAGACAAGCACTTTAAACAATAATTTCTAAAAAGGCAAATAGTAAATAAATAATGTACTGTGCACATTATCTGAGAGCAGGTTTGTCAGGCGGGGTGTGTGTTAGTAAACTTCAAAGTGTTTTGACACCATCTACTGTGGCAACCAAGTTACAAAAAAAATAAAATAAAATAAAAACACAGCAGCCTTCAAGATAATCAAAACGTATCCTCGTCTAATTTAAACACAATATTCAAAATCTCATTATAAGGCCAATATAGATCCAAATCCGATGAAAGCCAACAATAAAAAGTAAGCACCCAAATAAATGAATCCCAGATTAATGGTATTAATACAGTATTGCACAAGGGTTTGTGGATCGTCCTGTGGAGGTCAAAATCCTCTATGATGCTCACACCAGCACACGTCTGACCTTGCGGATGTGCTTTGTCTTGAGGTTGGTTTGGGTCATTGCTGTAGAAAACAACAGTAATAAAAAACAGAATGAGTGTATGACATCTGACATTCTTCTTGTGGACTGTATTTTCTGCTTATAATAATAGGTTTAACAGCTAGAGGGTTTAATTCGTACACTTTCAGGTAACACACTTCACCCAGAAGCAGCTCATTAATTAACACGTTAAATTGATTTTTAAATTAATGAACTTTGAACAAAAATTGTGTAAAAATGACAAGTTGACGTTTTACTGGGGGTTATGTGTGGGACTATATTGCGTTTCCACATATCCAGTCTTTATGCTAACCTAAGCTAACCAGCTGCTTGTTGTAGCTTCATTGATCTTTGCTCACAAACTCTCACCAAAAATGCAAAGTGTAGCCTAGTGTATCTTTAAGTCAGTGCATGTGTGTCTACAAGCTAGCATGCAATTCAACATACAGTAGATGAGGAATAAAATTTCTAATGATAAATTAATATTAGTATTTACTTGAGCACAAATTGAACAACAACCTTAAAATAAAATGTCACTATTTTCTCTTCTTACAGTATTTAAAACGTAACCTAACCTTTGAAGTCTAGACTGTAGGAGTCTCCCTTCACTTGGAACACCATGCTGTTTTGGGGGTTTTGCTGGTATTTTCTCTCAATGTCATCACTGGTTACTGAGCATTCAGTTTTAGTGCCGCTCTGTTGAAACAAGATCATTCTTGGTTGAGCTTAGCATTATTATGTAGTCACAAATGAAGTCTATGAGATGATCATAACCTCAACTCCGCAGATAACTTACCCTGCATTTGAAGCTGTGCCACGATCCACTCTTTCCTTGAAACTGCCACTGTGGTTTGGTGCCCACAGAAACATTCTTGAGAGCTGAGACTACTTGAGAAACTCTGTAACAACATCATTTTGGAAAACATACTTATTTGCTATCTTACTAAGAGTTAGATGAGAAGATTGATACCACTCTGATGATTGTACGATAAATATAAGGCTAACCAGGTGCTGGCTGTAGCTTCATGTTGTAGCTTCAGTGGTATCAATTTTTTCATCTAACTGTCAGCAAGAAAGCAAATTAACAGATTTTCCAAAAAGTCATACTGTTCCTAAAATTATCTTAATAATTTTCAAATATTTATTATTAACTAGAATGAAATTTGATCAGTTTGGTCAACAAATAAAATCCAAACTCACCCTGCCCCTGTTTGCAGTTTTCGGTACACTGGTCGACGAGTCACTTTCCTCTTCTTCTTTTTACTCACCTGTCGCATTTCTAACAAAAGACAAAACAGAACAATGAGGTTAGCAGCTGAGAAGGAACCAACAATGTCCTATATATATATAAAAAATTGGAAAACAGTCAAAAATGAACATGCTGTGAGTGTATCCTTCACCTCTGAATTTAATTTCAAGGGTATCAGAACCGATGTTGAAAGTGAAAGAGCTCGATGGGTTACTCTGAAACTTCCGCTCTATGTCAGAGCTTTTCACGGGGCTGGGATTGCCCTTTGAATCCTGTCCAGAGCAAAAAATATATATCTTACAAACTGACAAAGAAGACAAATAAATCGAAATATATTCAGGATTTTGGTTCAAAGCTGTTACCAGTCACTCTTTAAATCTTGGTGTATTTGTGGACACACAAACAAAGCTGAGAAGCCATTTACCTTTTCTCCATACTTATTCCACTTATTACGCAAAGTGCAATACCAGGTCCACTCGGTGTTGCCATCGTCCAAACGTCTCACTCTCAGGCTCTTTCCATACACTCTCATTCTGTTAAAATCTATGCTCACTGCCCTACAGAGAGACAGATAAAAAGTGTAGAGTGGCTCTGCTCAAAACTGTGCTTAAAAAAAGGATAAGACTGGTGTCACTGAAGATTTTGTTTTATCGACAACTTCTATTAAAAGACCAAAACCAATAATGTTTTTTCTGAGGTTCTCAATACTTTCCTAACCCCCGTCACGTGTTTGTTTTTCTGGGCTTTGGGATATGTGAAGCATTGTGTGACCTGGTTTTGAAAAGTACCGCATAAATAAAGCTTCACTTACCCACTGACTGGACAATAATCAAGCAGACATTTTAAGCTCTTACCCGCATGGTGTGTTGTAGAGTTTAATGCTTTTGGTATGGGGCAGGCAGTACTGAGCCTCGATTATGTGATCATTATCAACATCCATCCAGCCAGTTCCATCACTCAGCTGCCATTGGTAGAATCGGCCATCAGTAAGGACTGGATCTGGTGAAAAGAAAGAAGACACAATATTTGACAGGAAAAGACGGAGAAACCTCAGAGCAACAGGGTGTGGTCCCTGAAGGGAGAGATCCCTCCTTCAGGATCAACAGAAAGACATACAATATGTGCCATGTATACAGAGTAGACCGATTGAACAGTATTAGCATTACAATATGGAGAAACAGAATTCACAATGTAAAGTACCTAGGATATAATATGAAAGAGTTTCAGGGAAAATATAAAACAGCTCCTCACCCAGTCAACACCTTTCTCTTTCCCTCACCTCTAGATGTTGATTGATCCGAAGCCCTGCTGCTTGCATGAGACCCCTCGCTTCCACCTTTGGGGTGATTCAGTTTACAATTCGACCCATATTTGCAGTTTCCGTTCAGGGCGTACTTGCAGACGTGCCTGTAAGGGCACCTCTTTCCATCCCGACAGTGGCCACTGTTGTAATACTTGCAGGGCTTCTTCACAATAGACTTCAAAATGAAAATATACAAGGGTTTTCATCACTAGAGGTAAATATACTTATGTGCTGTGTGTCCACTCGTCACTTCTCATTGTGTTTATGAAATAGATGCTGTTTCCAACATCGTCTCTGTCAATAAACAAACCTGACAATCGTCCTCTACATCTGAATCCTCGTCACTGTTTGACTCATCGCTGATCTGATCGTCAGAGTCACTGGCCACAGTAAAGGTCTCATTTTCAGAGTCTAGGAAAAAAAAATAGCACAACATTGGGAGAGAATGAAACACACAATCATATGTTTACACGTTTAGTGGACGCTTTTATTCACAATATCCAGTGTCTGATATACACATGAAGCAATGTGGTGTTCAGCCTAGACATGTGTATACTTCACTGTTCACACATCTACCACCTAATACATTCCTGCACGCAACATTGATATACACTGTATGGCCAAATGTGTATTAATGCTATAGCATACAATGACATTTTAGACAGCAGTTTGTGGAAGTTTGAAATGCTGTTTCAACATGACAATGCCCCCCATACACCAAGCAAGGTCTGTAAAGAAATGGTTTTTCCAGTTTGCTTTGGAAAAACTTGACTTGCCAGTTCAGAGCCCTGACCTCAACTCCGATCGCCAGGAATTTTATGCCAATAAATAAAGGTTTCTAGATCATGGCACCCTTATGATAACACCCAGAGAGTAGTACTGTCCACATGTACTGTAAACAGTCAGTTGGTGGAAATTATAAAGTGGTGAAATATAATGAAGGTACTGATGATTACTGATGTACTTAAGACATAAAAATCACTTGTTCTATCGCAAAATTGGTACTATCAATGATTAGCCTACATTATAGTTGGTCCTGGTGCACCAATGTATAGGAGTAGCCTATCTGGAGTTTTAACCACTAAGTTTCCAACCAAGGGGTCAGGCCCCTCTAAAGGTCACAATATAAATCTTATGACTTTTGAGATAATTCATGGGGCAGGAAAACATAATTTTCTCTAATCTATGCGTTTATGGGATGGTTTACTTCTTTGGATCTCTAACAGTTATTTAACTGAAACCATCTGAGAAGGGGATTTCTCTTGTCAAGAACTCAGATATCTGACTAGTGACAAGGGTTCCCAAAATAGACACAGATTTTTGTAAGGGGTCACACAAGCCAAAGAGGTTAGGAGCTGCTCATTATAAAACAACAATTCCCTCTAACATGTAGTGGAGAAGTATCATAAAATGGAAATACTCAAAAACAATCGTACTTGAGAAAATGTAGATGTTACTTTGCTCCACTGGTGAAAAGAGGGCAATATATATATATTTTGTTCTGTTTTTTAATTATTAGAATCTGTAGTTATTCATTTCTTGTATTCATTATATACTACTACTGATGCTTTGATTATTTGATACATATCATTTATACAAATGAAACAAGAGCATGGCTCCTTCAAGCCGCTGGATCCATGGATGTATTATAATACCTTACACTGCCAGAGTTGCCAAGACCGCCCCGCTCTGCTTCTGATTGGCTAATACAGTTGGTTAGGTTCAGTGTCTGGTTAGGTTAAGAGCGAGAGCTGCGTTCCTCTCATACCATTGGTAGGTGAACTTTATTACCTCCAACTTGATAAACCGCATCCACAACAATTCCCCAAGTGTATTGACTTTAAATTTTTCTCCCCCCCCCCCTCACAGCATTGCGCCGGAATACTTTAACCCTGCTTCATGCTGCCTCGGCTGGCTAATTAAATTGCATACTTTGTGAAACCATGACATACAAGTTGGAAAATAGTTGATAGATAAAAGTTATATTAATATTCATAATGAGAAATTAAAGTAAAACATGATTTTTATAATACAAGTTTAGGCTATAGTTGAACGTAAGCCCTGTAGGGGCTTCATGAAAAACGAAACTGAAATTGTAAAGTCATTCTACATAAACAATGATCACCACTTCTGATAAATCTGTGTATCCGACTGAGAGATCAGACTCGCGTCATTCCTATCATAGGCTATTAGAAAAAGGCATTTAATAATTATCCTGATGGCTTTGTTTTCATTTGATCTACTTTGACTCTAAATGTCTCATACAATAAATACACACAGTGGCCACAAGAAGCTCGCAAAAAAGTTGCATGTGGTTTAAAGGAAAAGGGCAGCGAAACACACACATGAAGCCAATAAACCCGCAAATCAACAATAAACACACAGTCAACGCTGCAGAGACAAACAAAAAGCCATGATGTGTAAAGGCTACTTACCGGGACCTGTCGCCATTCTGTACACTGCAATATAAAAGGTCTACTTTCGTTTTCATTCTCAATACTTCAGACCAACCACTCCCATACAACATGAATTTTTCCCCGAGAGGCTGATTCTGCTGAAGGCCCATCCAAATTAAGTACTACTGTCCACATGTACTGTAAACAGTGAGTAGGAGGAAACTATAACGTGGTGAAATATAATGAAGGTACTGATGATTATAGATGTACTTAATGATATAAAATGATATAAAAAGTACTATCGAAAAATTGGTAATATCAATGATTAGCCTACATTATATGGTACATTATATGGTCCTGGTGCACCAATGTATAGGAGTAGCCTATCTGGAGTTTTAACCACTTACTGTTGGGTAGTTAAGTTTCCAACCAAGGGGTCAGGCCCCTCTAAAAAGGTCATAATATTAATCTAATGACTTTTGAGATAATTCATGGGGCAGGAAAACATTTTTCTTATCTATACATTTATGGGATGGTTTACTTCTTTGGATCTCTAACAGTTATTTAACTGAAACCATCTGAGAAGTTTAGAGGGGGGGGGGTCTCTCTTGTCAAGAACTCAGACATCTGAATAGTGACAAGGGTTCCCAAAATAGACACAGATTTTTGTAAGGGGTCACACAAGCCAAAGAGGTTAGGAGCTGCTCATTATAAAACAACAATTCCCTCTAACATGTAGTGGAGAAGTATCATAAAATGGAAATACTCAAATACAAGTACCTAAAAATTGTACTTGAGAAAATGTAAATGTTACTTTCCTCCACTGTTGAAAAGAGGGCAATATATATATTTTGTAATAACCCTGTTTTTTTAATTACTAGGATCTGTAGTTATTCATTTCTATTATCTATTATATACTACTACTTACACTTTGATAATTCGATACATTTGATATATACAAATGTAATGTTTATACATCTTTTTTTGAAATGTTTGTTAATCAATATAAAAATGAAAAGGTTTATTTGTAGTGTACTAAAACCTCCACAGCGCTGGATGACGATAGTGAGCTGTTTCTGCCACTGGTGCCTCCCTGTTTACAGACGGCGATAGAGCGCTCAGCTATAATACAAGAGAAGAAGAACGTAGGGTCCCTCTGAAGGAGGAACGACCTACGAAGGGCACTTCACAAAAAGCCTAAACAAAGAACGGAGAATAGGCGAAAATGGAATTCCAGGATCACGCTTACACCAGCACCACTTATGATAAAGACAGCCCCGTGGAGTTCACATATAAAAGTAAGTATTGACGACAGGAAATGACAGGAAGATACGTTTTAATCGAGCTAGCCGCACATATTAGAGTTAGCTTAGCACCTAGCAAGTGGGCTCCACTGTGAAAAGTTACTCAACAAGTACGCCTTCATTCATTTCATTCAACATTGAGAAGTGAATGTAATTAACTTACAGTTTTCAGTCGGCCTCCGATGTCAGTGAAGTTTATATCTACTGTGCATTAGTCATCCAAATGAACACAGACGAACTGGGGCAACAGACCAAAACCAAGTTTATAAACTAGTTGATTGGTTGTGACGTGACACCTGTTGCAAAGTTAATTTAATGGTTCTCACCTGAATTAAAAAGGGGAAGAGCGCAGTACATTGTTTTTAATAAGAAAAAATGAAAAAGCCCAGTGAATACACTTCTAATAAGATAAAAAAAATCAAGCAAATAAATCACAGTTTGCACACTGTAGTAAACAATATGAAATATAATATTCTCAAAGGGCTTATGTTTTATTGAATTGTGGACTGGCATTTTTTTAAAAACTACACATTTAAGCAGCTCCCATGTTCTCCCAAGTTCTACATGTTTTTTTCCTTTCTTCTCTCTCTCAGTGAGTTCAAAAGAAGTTGAAGACTTTGTGAGACTGAGGGTTTCAAATAATTACCTCTTCTCTGGAAGAAGAAATACTTCCATGTGGGCATGGAGGTAAGCTGTCAAGTCAATTTTCTCTTAGACTCTAGTTTGTGATGCAGGAATACGCAGTTACTATAAGAGGATATTTTACTTTCAGATGAGTCTTTGCTCAAGAGGTTCTATACCGAGGGAATATAATTTTTTTTCCTCCCATACCTACCATAATATTTGACATTTTGCTCATCATGTTCCAGTGTTGAAACTATGGGTTGTTTATATTAATTTAACAACCTCTTGATAGTATAGCTCTATTTCTGTGCTGTGTTTTTAATTTATCTTTTTGCTATTTTTTTCTGCTGAGATGAGGGTGTCTCCATTGGGAATAGTTTCATTTTGTAACAAAGGCCATATTCAGGAAGCTCTTTTAACCTTGAAAACATGGCGTAATATTAAAATACATTTGTAAAGTACTAAAATCATTATATTTTCAGGTCCATCCTCAAACATATGGGATTGCAACACAAGATGACCCATAGTCAAGCATCCAAAAAATGGGAAAACATGAAGAAGCGGTACAAGGTATTCATAGTTTTGATTTATGTCAGAATTTTTTCATTCATGAATCCTTCATAAAGCATTCTGACAGGTTTTGTTCTTGTCTTGATGACTTGATCTCTGTCTCCTCAGGAGCTAAAAAACCCTCCAGATGGGGTGAAAGTGTTCCCTGAAACGTGGACTCATTTCACCCTGATGGACGATGCTATAGAGGGTCGGCTGGAAGGCAGTGCCCCCATCCTCAAGGCTTTACCCAGCGACAAAGACAACTGTGATTTCTTATCCATTTCCAAACCCAAGAAAAGGAAGGTATCCATGGTGATATCCCCCCCTACAGCTTTGGTAGCAGGTGGGCCAGAGATCGAGGTTTCATTAAATGGAGACGAGGATAGGGAGGAGGAGATGGGGGAGGGATGCCAGGACATAGATCGCATCATGCTGGAGGTGGACAACGAGAGGAATGTGATGGAGAGAGAAAGACAGGTGATGGAAAAGGAGAAACAGATGATGGAAAGGGAGCGGCAGGTACTGCAGAGGGAGAGGGCAGCACTGGATCGGGAGGTCGCTGCCCTGGACCGAGACCGAGCCTCGCTGGAGAGAGAGAGGGCGATGATAGAGCGAGAGAAGGCGGTGATGGAGAGGGAGAAGGCGATGGTGGAGAAGGACAGAGATGCTGTGTGCAGGGACCGACTGGCTCTGGAGCGAGAGAAGGCCAGACTGGAGAGACTATATGCATCAAAAGAAAGGACTGAGGACGTTACAGAAGACAGCAGCAACATGAAAGACACCGATGTCATGGACAGGAAGGAACGGTTCCTTCAATTGTTTGAAAAACTTATAGAAAACTTTTGAGAGAATCTTTGGAACTGCACTTCCTTATGATGTACCGTTGGTATATATTTAATTTAAAAACAATTATTTTTGTTAAGCAATAAAATCCTTTCTTACATGGATTTTTTCTGCACAAAACTGCCTCTGAAGAAAAATTTTTTTTGTGTTCACCTCAGCTGCATCTGCACACAGTTTACTGCAGTTCAAAATCCACAATATACTTACACCTATAAGTTGTCAATGAAAACGTTGAGCCACTCCTGGTTCGGAGAGGTCGTCAAAACAACTTTATTCACTTGTGGTTATTCCATACAGAGCACACAATAGCAAGCTATTAGCATTATTCTTAACCCCATCCACAATCAAAATCAACAACCCCCCTCCCAAATCAAACAATAGTCTTTAGTTGATCGACTCTAGACATTAGAGTCTTTGGTATAGGCTATTGTGCACGGTTAAAACATCACTTTTTGAAATGTAATATACCAAATATTGCAGTTCATGTAAAAAATCTTTTTTCAGAATATATATTTTTATATTACAGTACAGACTTTACAACAAATGATTGTGTTTAAATGCGTCTTTTATTGCATTAGATACTCAATTTACCTTTCGTTAAGCTCCAGCTTCAATAAGTTTATGCTAGTATACATTTCCAAAAGTGTTAGATTCATCATTAATAATAATATTATTTTTTATTTTTACAAAACAAACATCTTTAAACAATATTACTGATTGTTTTTTTTTTGCCAGTCTTGAACAGACACTGAACAGAAACATACATGTTGTTTGAGGGTTTTTAATAAACTGATTTCTCCAAATGCCACCTATTGTTTACACTTAATCAAGTTGCAGAACAGTCTGGCTTTTGACAAAGTTCTGGTGCGTATGTGTGTGTATTTGTATATGTGTGTACATGCATTTTTTTGTTGGTGAGGGAATATGACGATCGAGACGGTTTCAGTGTGTGTGTGTATGTGTGTGTGAGTGTGTGTGTGTATGGTTGTGTTATACTTGGCATGGAAGTCTGAACAACAGGAAGGAAAAAGGTGCAGTAGAGCAGTGTATATGTGCTTGATCAACATAATCCAACTCATAATTTACGTGCTTGTGGAGGTTTATGAAACATATAATTCCAAACAAAGTTTAATTGATCTATAGTATTTGTCAGCAGCATGATTGACAGTTGTATGCCGTTGTAATTGATTGACTGTTTGAAGAGTGAAAAAATAGTATATGTGTCTGCGTGTGTGGTCTTGTGTGTCAATATGTACAAAGATGTGTGCATGTGGTTGTATTTGTGGGAGTCAGTGTGCAAGAGTGTAAGAGTATGTGTCTGTGTGGTTAAATGAGATCCCCGATGGGTATACGGGGCAGGCAGATGTAAGCCTGCGGGGTCCTGCTGAGGTTGATGGGGTTGCCGTCCAGACGGATGTCCTCCAGTGCGTTCCTGATGTAGTTGAAATCTTTCAGGTTGCAGAACGTGTCCTCGTGCATCATTTGAATATTGTTACGCTGCAAGAGGAGATGGAGGAGGATCCATGATGAGATACATCCATGCATTTAAGATATGCTTTGATGAAACTTAATTATCATATTGGAGAAATCTGATCAGTGAAGATGAGAATAGAGCACATAGGGAGTGTTGACTAATCAGAATGAATTCTAAATGTTTTTTATTTTAACACAGCTCCACCCAACATCATAATGAGTAGAAGTCTAATCAGACAGGATAAGTGAAAACACTTGTGCGGTCGTACTGAGACCTATTATCATTTCTGACCCCAACTCACCTTTTCAGCGAAAGATTTTTCTATTTACATTGTTTTCATATCAAACTGGAACCAGAAAGAGTTTTGACCCCAAGAATGCAAAGAAGCTGCATTATACTTTGAACATTTTGCTTTCATTGTTGACCAGTGGTGGGGAGTGATGACATATGAAGCAGATATACCTGTAGGTGTAGAGATCGCAGGCTGTCCGGTAGAGGCACAGGGATGTAATCAATGAGGTTGTCTGTTAGGTACAGGTACAGCAGGCCAGTCATGTCCTAGAAACAGGGACAAAGGATATAGGTCATTATTGGCCCTGACCCTTAAAACAAATGTTTTTGATATGGATCCCTTACATGTTGAACCAATGCACTGCAAGACTTAAGAATAGACCCCACAGCGCTGTTTGGTGCGCAAACTATGTAATGGCTTTGCCATTTTTTTTACTGCAATATTTTATTAGTTGTTGGCAAATATGTGATTTAAGGCTTTAGTGTGTGACAGGAACTTTAAGTTAAGAAGGCGTACGTACTTTGAACGGCTCTTTGTGAATACCCTTGGTGCCAATGTTGTTGTGGCTGGCATCAATCAGGGTCATGGTCTCTGGGAGGGCAGGCAGCTGTGAGATGTGATTTTCTCGGATCACCAGCTCCTCCAGCTCAGGGAGACCCATAAATGCTCTGTCCTCGATGGTTGTTATCTCATTGGCGGTTAAGTCGATCCTCTTCAGCTTGTCTGGAGGGAGGCGAGACAGGACACTGAGACACTGATATCAGCGTTCACTGACGGCTCACTCCAGTACCGTTCTGAACATCCCTGGTCTAATATTCATACATTTTCATTCAAACAGGAAACATACTCATGGAGGCGAAGTCAGACTTGTTGATCTTGGTGATTCTGTTGTAGCGTGCATAGAAGTGAGTGGTGTCTTTGGGGAGAGGTGGTACACTGTCCAGCTTCAAGTCATCACAGTAGACTGAACCACCAAGGCACGTGCACAGCAAGCAAGTGGGCATACCTGGAGCACACGGGAAGAAGAAGAAGGAGGAGAAGAGGAGAGGAAAGGAGTAAAATATGAAAAAATAGGAGGCAGAATGATGGTAGTTTACTTAATAAGTCTTAACCTCATTTAAAGCCTCAAGAGGTTATAACCCACAGGGGAAAATCAATCAAATCAGGATTCAGGATATCAGGATTTTGCAGACAGGTTCCAAAGGGAACTGAGATTTTACATCATTGCTTGTCTGAATTCTGTGGCCGTGCTGTTCAGTACTGACCTCGTCTGTCAACCACAGGCTCATCAGGCTCGTCAGGTTCACCCGGCTCTGGCAATCCAGAGCTCACTGACCCTTCTACACCGCCAGTACCCTCCTGAGGGGTTTCTGGTGTAGTCGGAAGCAGCCCCTCCTCTTGTTAGAGACAAGATTAGGTGTTAAAGAAACAGGTTAGATTAGCATGGACATGGAACAGGAAGTCTGGCAATCAGTGGCCCACTGTTTGCCGCAGTGATAAGTTACATACAGTAGCTATATTAGCAGTGTGCTGCTAATATACTGTGTTTGTGGCATTTAACTGATGAATGGAAGTTAAATGAAAATATCTTTGGTGTTAATAACATGAAATGTGATCTGCTGAATATGATTGTTAGCAAAGAACAAAAAACACTTTTTACGGAAGTCTTTCCAATTAGGTTTGGTCTTAGTTTTAGGTTCCTCCATGACGGGCAACCAGGATGGAAAACCACAGTGGACTTGGTATAAATATTTATGTGAAAGTAGATCTTGCGATGAATAAGCTAAATATTTTCTCAAATGACATTACTATTGCTTTTTGACTGGACCCAGTTCCCATTATAAATCTTGACCTGTTCATAAACAAACAAAAGTAATGTTTTTCTCACCAAAATTAAGCGTTTTTATCTCCGAGGTCAAAGAACTACATTTCCTTCCTCATAAAACATTTGCACAGCTGATTTCTTTTGTCTATTTTAAATTTGTATTTCTGTTACGTCCATGCATGTGTGTCCTTGTGCACATCATACAAACAAAAAGCAACCCACTCATAAAAAACATTGCTCTATAGTGATACTAATGGTCAAAATGGTACCTTTTAACCTTGGCCAGTTCATTAAGAGATTCAAAGATGGCTCCCTGGCCCTGCACCAACACTGGCATCTTGTTCAATTTAAGTGTTCACTTTTTGGTGTGTGAGATATGGATGGAGTTTTTACCCCGCCATTAACATATCTCACACAAGGCTAGAGTAGATACTGACCTTTGTCAATGTCAGGGACCAGAGTTACCTCAGGGACCTCGGTGTCTCCAGAGACACCAGACCCAGAGGCTCCAGAGACATCTACGTCTCCAGAGGCTTCAATATCCCCTGAGGCCCCTGAGATTCCTGAAGCTCCTGAGAAATCCCCAGAAGCACCCGATGCCTCTTGGGGGATAGTGTCGGGAATGAGGGGCAGCTCCTCCTCTTGTTAGAGCCAAGGGTTGGGGTTAGGAGGTACGAAGTTAGGTGGGTGGGGGTGAGACAGACAATCAATCAACCAATTAACCAATCAATCAATCAATCAATCAATCAATCACACTCACATTTTAGATGAGACAGGATGTTAGAAATGAGTAACACAAATACAATGGCAATCAATAGAACAAATAATTAAGATCAACATTTAACTACATTTAAAAAGGAAGCAGTTAAATGGAATGTAAGATAATAAATCAACATAAATCACAGAGTGACAGGTTATTTTCACACAGATCAAGAAATAGTGTTTCCACAATCTGCTCTGTAAAGGTACTAACCTCCAGATATCAAAGTTATCCCAGAGTCCCCGGACTCACCAGAGTCCCCAGAAACCCCAGAGCTTCCGGAGGCCCCTGAGATCAAGAGATCTCCAGAGAACCCAGAACCAGACTGGTCCCCAGATTCTCCAGAGCCCAGGGGGAGTTCAATGGAAATCCCGGAACCTCCAGAGCCAAGGTCCCCAGAGGCTCCAGAAGTTGCAGATCCCATGATATCCCCAGATCCTGAGAGATCCCCAGATCCCCAGAGATCCCCAGATATCAAGATATCCCCAGATACCAAGAACTCTCCAGATCCCCCAGAGCTGAGGAGCTCCTCAGAGGCTCCGGAGACTAGTACAATGTCACCAGAACCCCCAGAGCCGCCAGAGACCAGTAGATCTCCTGAGCCTCCAGACCCAGAGGCCCCAGAAGCTCCTGAGGCCCCAGACCCTACGGAACCCCCAAAATCCCCGGAGACATGAAGGATGTCAATGGGCGTCAGACGCAGCTCCACCTCTTGTTAGAGACAAGATTAGGTATTAATAAACAGACATATGAGACTGAAATGGATCATTAATCAGGTTTGGAGTTCACAATGATGATTAGGTTCAGTAGTAGGTGACAGATGGACACAATGAACATGACACATTTAAACATTAAGAGCTAGTTAAATGGAAGACATGCACGTGGAAAAGATGATTTGCTGAAGATGAAGACAATGAGTTTTTTTTGAGAGATTAGTGTTTCTTTGTTTTGGATGTTTTTGTTCATTATGGGTAATGCTGCTTCCACAAATCCATATGCCCAGAGAAGAGCGAGGCTGTGTGAACTTTGTATATCAAGTGACTTTATGGGTGTGCAGACCTAAATGTAAATGTTTTTTTTCAGACCTTTCTGTGTGTCTGGGCCCATGAGAACCCCAGATCCCCCTGAACCCTGGGGGATGAGCTGGGGTGTCAGAGGCACCTCCTCCTCCTCTTCCTCTCCTTCCTGTTCCTCCAAGGAGGCCTCGGGTACAGGGTAGTTGTAGTCAGGTGGGGCCAGTGTTCCAATCTCTATCTGAGGGAAAGACAGCAGCAGTGAGGCAAAAATGTAAGAAATTCTGATTTTAAAATTGATTCCTAATATTCCAGCAAGTAAGAAAAACTTTATGTTGATGTAATTGTACACAGCCAAAATACAGGCCATACAGACATTTTGCTCTATTCCGAAATAAAATAGCTCACCTACACATTTCAACATTTGGTAAACTCTAAGATAACACGCACCCGCACAAAGTTATGAAGTGAAAATTGGAGGTCGATGTGATGATGGTGACAGATCTATAATCTATGAATAATATACCAAATCATACATCCTGGTCATTAAAGTCATAAAGTCTACCAATAACTACATATTATACAGATATATATCTATCTATTATAATATACAGAAAATGAATTAAAATTAATTTTGTAAATGTAAATGAAAATTAACATTGTGTATTCATCCATATATCATGGAGGGCACTATAAAACCTCATAAGATAAAGTTCAGCTCTGGACAGCTAAATGTGCATCATACACTTGTACGAGGCAAAACACATCTGTATATAATTATTAAAAGTCTGCACATACTTCTAAGCACAACTGTTTGACAATTCATTTCACGATTCATGAGTGATATGAACTTCTGCATTAAGTAGTCCCAGAGTTACAGCGTTTTAGGAGACAAACAGTGCTCATGTATGCATGGTGTTGACAGTCAGGTGATTTGATACATTTCTGTAAACAGGAAAATCAAATGTTTAAAATCCAAATCTCTCACAGTACATCTGTTATTTTGTCAAAATCTACAGCTACAATCCTTGGTGTAAAGAATTTGACATGTCAACACACTCGTCTCACAAACAAGCAGTTACAGCCGAACCATTTAGGCTGACGGGTCACGGATCACTCAGGGTAGCATCATTCATTTGGTAATCAAATGGCTTTATACAGAGCATAAGCCAATGTAACTTGTGGATACTAACAAAACATTAGTAACTTTGAGACAAAAGCTCTTTCATAACATTTTGTGAGGAGTATTAAAGTCTCTCGCTCCTGAAATGACCTTATAAGTAACAACATTGAGGGAGAGAGTCAAGTGCAGAGTGAAGATCAGATAAACCTTGCCTGCCTATTGTTGAAGATTGATAATCACATACACAGTTCACCATAACTGACATCATGCTTCCCAATCTCTGTTCATAGCTTGTATTTGGCCCATCCTACGCATGGATGCCGCCCTTTAAACTGCTTTCCGCTACCCCCTCCACGCCTACCATAAACAGTGATGCGGTGGTTAATAGAAACTTGCAGTAAACATCTGTGATCACTGCTGGGAAAACAACAAACTATATGAGCAAAAAATCTGTTTTATTTTATCATGAAAAATGTTCATTTAAACTACAAGAGATGCTATCTTTATATTGTTCACGTTTATCACCCTGCACTCCGGTAAAAGCAAAGTCCCCTCTTCCCTTAACCCTGCGCAGGATAACTAGGTAAACTGATGGATAAGCAGTCGAGACAGTGTGGTGGTCTGAAAGGGTGACATCGTCGTTTCAGATCTGTTTTGGGATCTTGCATATTCCTTTCTTTCACTCTTTCTCTCTGTTCTTCTTTTATCTTTTCTATGATTAGTTGAAAAATGCAAAAAAGGCAAAAAAGAACATTCAACTATAATCAAAGGTGACAAAGTTCAACTGACATGTCACTGAATCAACAATCAAGGGGGGATCAGCACAGGCCCATCCAACCCAGGATTACAGTATAACTGCTCTGCCTCCACCAGTAGATGGCAGCAAAGTGTCCAGATTGACGTATCCACACTAGAGACAGCAAGGATTACTCAGATGCAAAGTCTAAAAGAAGCCATAGAGGACATTTCTGGGGTATAGACACCTTAAGGTGACCACAGTGATTAGTCTTTGTGCCCACAACCAGACGACGGCACTTTCTGCACGTACATCTTCTGCATGTGAAATATCTTAGCAATAAGAACAATCATCTCACCAAGCGTACATGCCACAGGGAAAAATAACTTGATATTCAGTTACAAATGGAAGAAGACATTTTTTATGCGATCTTAATTATGAACTGACTTTCAAATCACTTTTTTTTGTGATATTTCGTCAGATTTTTGTCAACAAAACTTTGACATTAATAAGTTTCTTAGTCTTTTTAAAAAGGTTTTTCAGATCATTCCCGTATTTAGTTAACCACTTTCTTTCACAAGTGATGGAGTTTGCAGACATTATTTTGTGCCCTTTAGTAAACTTAAAGTCTAGACAAACTGCAGGGAGTACACCCAAGGACTAAGAAGTAAAACCATGTAAACGCTCCTGTCTACTTCATTTCAAAATATCACATTACTTTATAAACAAAGGTTTAGCACTTTCGTTTATCAAACAGTCTAGCATTTAAGTTTTATGTTTGGAAATAAATTAAAAGACAACTCTGCCAAAACAACAACGATTTATGAATTACAGCGCTTTTGGTTCCGTCATTAAAAGCTTCAGGTATATCCATCTGGCATTATAATTGCATTTACAGTCATTGCAGTTGTACCTTTTGATGTTTTGGTGTTTGATGCAGTTCTATCATCCTCCAGACGAGGGCAATGAACCCCCACACACCACCACAGGTAATACCTGACACTCTCTCACGCCCAACAAGGCTGACTCAACCCTCTAAAAAGGGAATGGTCCTTGTGGAACCAAGACACACATGGTAGCTGCAAGAATCCATATTTGAGTTTTAGCAACTACTTTCAACCAAAGTAATCAGATGCCAACAAGCCAAAAGGTGTCAAAGTAAATGTACTGTATGTCCAGAGAATGAAGTGAGTAGAACCTTTATGTCACCGCAAATTGAAGTGAATAAAAAAGTAATGCAGTGACATTAAATTCAGCAATGAGGAGATATCTAGCGCTGAATGTCACGTTTTAAAGCTTGGCAGACACACAGTTTGGGATACAACAAGGTAGGCCTTTGACTTGTCTTGCACAGAGTTAGCTCACTGCAGCTCTCCCCTTCATTTCCCCCTTTCCCCAAAGCAAACATTTACACCCGAGGGGAAAAGAAGAGGCGAAAGGCTGGCAACCAAAAATATATATAAAAAAAAATCTCTGGAAACAGCATGGGAATACAGAAAGCACAGGGAGAGACGCCGAATGTGAGCATCAAGCCAAAGCCAAAACGATGTGTCGCTGCTGTGTATGTTGTATATTAATCAGTAGATGCATTCAGCAAAGGATGTGAAGTTTCAGCTATACACTTGGTTCACCAGCTGCAGCCTTTAGCCTACAACAAACAAAACGACAGAGTGATTTGCAAAAGTACTGGTCACACCCCCCCAAAAAATGAGCAGCACCAGGTCACCACCCTTCTGATGGTTCATCTGCATACACTGTACAACATGTGCAATGTAATTCATGCTAAATCTTGAGTCCAATGAATAGCCATGTGGTAAATTTTGCTAAGGTGCTGGTAGACATGAGCAGAGCCAGGCTAGCTGTTCCCACCTGTTTCCAGTCTTGATGCTCAGCTAAGCTAACTGGCTGCTGGTTGTAGCTTCATATTTAACGCACAGAAATGAGAGTGGTGTCAATATTCTCATCTAACTCTCAGTAAGACAAATGCAGTGACAGCATTTCCCAGTGTTTTCAAGTAAGTAACAGACAAGATTATGATACTAATTATCAGTTTGTGGCACAAATGAAGAGCTACAGATGGCTGACAAAATAACTGCTCACTATATGGCCTACAGTAAAACAATCCAATACGACAACAGCACAAACAACAGTTTCAGGAATCAAAAATCACCAGTCAACGATGTATATAGCATACATAAATATTATTTTGTCCAGCCCTGGAACAAAGCGAGTTCAAAATTCAAATTACCAGCTGCAACGAACTGAGCCAGCCTGCTCTGTGGATGTTTGACTCAAGAAAAAATGATGAAAGACAGACTGAATGTCTGGGTCAAACAAAGATGCCTAAATAAATCTAAAGTTGGTGATTAAAGCATTTGCAGAGACTTTTGAGCGTAGCAGGCTGAGGACACTCTGCTTTGATAACGTTGTAGATGAGCTTTACTTCTCTCTAAAGAGACAAGCCTTGAGGAGAGAGAAGAAACGTACAGTACTAACAAAGAGCTGGAAGTGGAAAGCAAAGACTCAGCATTCCAGAGGCATGGAGCTCATCATCGCTTCACTGCTCCCGTGACATTTGATGTGTGTTTGAATAAAATCCATTTACTCTTTACTTCTTCTCAAACAACCAGAAGATCTGCCCTCTCACCCTTAACTCTGTTGTCAACAACAAACAACAAAGTGACAGATCTTTGCAATGTTCTGTTTCTCAATGCTGCAATTATAAGTTTGTGTTTATTCAGTGCGGACAACCAGATGAAAAAGACTCTTGTAACTCTAATTGTATTGTTTCTCTTTTTCCTGCTCCCGCGGACTCCCACAAAATCTTATGCAATGTGCTGTGTCATATCCAGGCTTGTTAAACAGAGAGACATTATCAAAGCCATTCCCCTGCAACACATGACAGCGTTCCCACACTGAGCACTGTCCGGTGTAACACTCAGCTGTAAAGCTTTGCACACCACAATTCAAACATTTTAAATCTAGGCAAAAGGTTGTGCTTGTAACTTTTTGCGACCGTGGATGAAAAAATAATTTCACTGCTTTACGTTGTTAGTTCTGCTAAATCGGCATTGGATAGTGGGATAGGTCTTAGATAACAGCCGTAGTGTGAGTGCAATCCACATCAGGTTTGACTTAAGTCGCTGGCTCAGAGGAAGCAAGTTGAAAATCCTGTGTGGATGATTCGCCTCGTGCCATCTCGACATCGCCTTGGCCTAATTTCCTTGTTACAAAGAAGTATAAATGGGAACACGAAATTTGGCTTTATCTTGCCATCCCAGCATGCCCTGCAGGGTTGCCACATCACACTCAACTTGAGCTGATTTAGAGAGGGCACTTCTGGAATCCATTTTTCATGTTAGAAAGCCTCTCTCATCTTTGGAAAGCTGTTGCACAGAGCAGAATCTGAGTAGAATGAGAAGAGACGTGAGTCCCAGCATGCACAGCAGTCCTTGGGTTTTTCTCACTTTGAAGCAGGTCATTCCCTTATTTAACAGTGACAGCAAGTCACACATAGAGAAATTATTCCATAACAGCTGTCTCACTTGCAGCCCGTTGACATCCACTTGCTAAAGCCTCATGTAGAAAGTATAAGTTGTAAAATAATACATGCAAATGATGCTCCATCGATTTTTCTTGTATTTTTCTTCTTCATCTGTGGCTGTCAGGAATATATATTCTGATGACTGAAAGCAGAATGAAATCATGCAGGTTGCAACTAAGCAATCTGCACACCAAGATAAAAAATAAATAAAATAAGTACAAATGTTAGTATGCTGTGTGATTAAAAGATGTGTCCTTTCTTGATCTCTTTAGGCAAATAAAAACCATGTCCATCACTGAGGCATGAATATTGCTTGATTGCATAGATAAAACTACTCCACATGCAGATGGACCGCAGATTCTGGGGCCTGTCAGTCCAAGTGTCGGGGCCAAGGCATGAAAGTGAAATATTTTGGCCACAATAGTGCATAAAGCTGTAAAGCAGCTTGTCCACTTTCCAAATGGCCCCTGTTGCTGTCAGTGTGATGCCTATCTGCTCCATGAACCTAGTGACCTCTAATCAAAACCAGCCAGTTCGCCAGTGTTACACTGTCACAGCTGTGATTTGTGAAATCTGAAGGGAATCTGGATTTGGGGGGAATTTGATTAGCCTGTATGGTTTAAACTCTGGAAACCATTAAGCAGTGAAGAACACAAAACTGACTGTGTCAAACAACTAAAGTGATAAAGGTAAATGTTGAATAAATACTATGTGAGTCACAAATGGCATCAGTTAAATCTGCAATAACAAATTTTTGGCTACTTGAGTGCGGCAGAAAAAAGCAATAAACACAACACAGACATATAAAGCCTTTTAGCAGCTAAATCATAGACATCCTGGTCTGCTGCTTGGTGCCATTTCATAAAGGTACCATGGTACGGTAAAAGATACCATGGTCTTAGACCCATACAGTTTCTTACCTGAGGATCATCAATTGTCAGCCCATCTTCGTAGTCATAGATATCCTGGTTCTCCAAATTCAAATTGTCTAGATCCACATCATAGTTGGCACTGTCATATGAGTCCAAGTCCACTTGTCGGGAAAATCTGGGGCTGGCCACCACTGCTTTGAGGACGAAGAGTCCCAACACGAGCCGCATGAGCATCCTCATTGTCCACCTTGACACGGACAGAGAGATGTAAAATCAAACAGGGAATGGCCATTAAAAGATTTACAGTTGTAGATGCCTTACAAGGCACTGCATGGAAATTAAAGTAATTCCCATGCAACAAGCAAAATTTGAAATTGAAAGGGGAACAGACATGCAGAAATTGAAATTGAAATACCAAAGTGGCAAACTGTGAGGAGCTGTTTTAGATAATCACCTTTAAACTAATGTGCTTAGAACGGAGGACGTGCTATGTATTAAAATATAGCTCCACATAGCTGCACTTCAACAAGGCAGGTCTTTATGATATTGGCTCCATAAGCTGTCTATAATATTGGCAGTATAACATCTCTGTAGTGCTACAGACCAGGGCTTGACTTTGGGTCACATCACTAAGGTCAGTGAATTCATTACTGAGGTGCAGACAGCTCAAGGGATCGAAATATGAGGGCCTCTTGCCTCAGTCGGCCAGATGCTCCAGGGAGCAGCCATCTTGGCTTAAATCAGTGCTATCATGTGGCGTGTCAAAGGTCAGAAGTCAGAGTTGATCTGATAAGGATCCATGGGAAGGTTGGCTTTAGTCTGCAGGGCTAAACGCCTCTAAGAAATCTACTTTCAGCTTGTAGGATTTTTCATTGACGGTTTTAAACGCATTCAAAGGAATTAAAATTTCAAGTCCCTTTTTTTCCAATAAAACACTGTTAAAACTACATTTTAATTTGTGTGTTTTTGGTTGGGGCTTCGATTATTTTTCCCAGTCACACCAAAAAGGCTTTGGCTGAAACATGCAGCAAAATTCTTGGCCATGAATTTGAAATGAGGGCTCAGACAAGAGGGCCCTTTTCTACTTGAATATAAAATGAGCAGGTATGACTTTCACTGAGTGCAGATCTACTATGCATATCCCTGACCTAGATAGCAGCTCATTATCTCAGCAGCAAAGATCTGCCAAGCTTAGTGAGGTTGATTCAGTTCATAAGTGTGAATCCCAAGTGGGAAGGGTTAATAAGATTAGTATATGTTAATTACAGTTTAATTAGCTGTCATCACAGACATTAGGCTTAGGAATGAATCATCTGTCAGAGGGGAATTTCATAGCAGACTATTAGCAGGTGTAGCCACATCGCCACAGGCGTGAGAAGAGTTTTAAGAGAGTCCTCTAGGCCGGGGCAGAGAAATGGAGAGCAAGGGAAGTGAAGGGAAGAAGTGAAGAAAAGAGCAAGATGGAGAGAGAGGTGGACAAGATGTTGGCCCTCAGGGTTAGATGGAGAGAGTGAGGATAAGACTGAGTGGGAGAGAGTGAGAGAGAGAGAGAGAGAGAGAGAGAAAGAGCTAACTCGACCCCTCGCCCTTTACAGAGGGTCTTTATGAGGCCCGGTCGCTGCCTGTCTCAGCACTCAAACTCCAAATTCCACCGAGGTTTGTGGACAGGATGGCAGTGAGTTACGGCTGCAAGGAAAAGCTTCATTCAGCAGTGAGGGTGCTCAAACACACACACACAAACACACACACATACACACGCGAACACACACACACACACACACACACACACACACACGCACACACACGTTCATGCACATACTTGGAAAGACACATCCTCTCACAGATACACACTGTGTCTGAACACACCTATCTTTTCAGAGAGAGAAAACTGAGAAACCTCTGCTGCTATTTTGGGATGAGGACAGATATAAAACAAAAAAAAAAGCACCCCCCCCCGGGTTATTTAAGTCATCAATCTAATCTTTAAATGAGAGGGATACACTAATTATGCAAATCCATTCCTTTGTTGCCTGTTTAAAATGTCTAACATGAACTTAATGCACCTGATTGAAAAAAGGTGAGCTGACTTGTTAGCATCTCCACTGAACTGACTTTCTGTCACGAGGCTCTGAAATCCAGCATGGCTACACTGAAAGAAGGACTATGCTACAGACAGAGGTGTGCTTTTATACAGGCCATCACAGTGTACAGTGTGTGGAAACTGTGTATGAGTGTAGCCTCCAGACTACCTCCGTGTTATGCTTGGCTCCGCGTTGGGCATTCCTGATATCCAGTGATTCTACCTTTTTCCCTCAAAAGCCACAAGCAAACTTGACAGACGTCTCTTTGCTAATGGTTGCAGAGCAAACTGGTGCATTTGTATCACAGACAATTTAAAAATCCTCCACCAAAGCAGTTGACAAACATTTTAAAGCAGAAAGATATTTCATGCACATAATTCTGTATTGAGAGAGGATGTATAAAAACAGTTCCCCACAGCAAATAAGATTTTCATCACTTCTTCCTAAATTTTCTGTCATATTTTGGCTGAAAAAGTACAAGAATCTCGATTTGCTTCCTGATTTGAAATCAAAAGCAAACAATACTGTAGCTGTCAAAAGTGGCCAAATAAATCAATATCACCAAGGTTGTCACAAAACCAAAAAACACCTGTTGGACACTCACACCTGATTCACATCTGCTGAAGCTCATAAAACTACCAGCCAACATTTCAAAATCATTATCAGTGCTCAAGGACAACAGAGACATCCACATTTCAGACACCTGCAAACCTCCAAAGCAAATCCCTGAGTGAAAATAAGCAGCTGCATCACCAACCAATTAGTCAGAAGCTCCAAGGCAAACCCTGAATAGCAGCATTTTTGGAGGGGCTAGTTGAGCCTGCCTGCCTGTCTGCCTAATCCCCTACATCAGAGAGCCATTGAACCAGTATGAAGATAGCACCAAGAACGCTTACCTCTGTCTCCTGCTTTCCCGAATGGTCCCTTCAGCCGTGATGGAGATGCTGAGGGCTCAGGGACCTGGCCAATGGTGAGAGGTCGCGCAGGGTGCCTTGAAGAGGGAGGGTGCGTGTGTGAAGTGTGTGAAAGGTGTGTATGTGTGTGTGTGTGTGTGTGTGTGTGAATGTGACAAGTGCGTTTGTGTGTGTGTATGTGAAGGTCTGTGTGCTCTGGCAGACCTGAGTGCCCTGCCGCTTATGTGTGAAGGTAGGCACTGAGACTGATTGGACTAGAGCAGATTGCTTTTGGTCGCTGGGACTGCACCCACCCCACACTGTACACCCATATGCACGACCCTCTGAAACACAGACGCACACACACACACATACACACACACACACACACACACAGACACACACACACACACACGCACACACACACACACACACACACGCACACACACACACACACACACACGCACACACGCACACACACAGACATCAGCAACAGACAGCAAGAGAGAGCAAAAGCCCCCCCAGTGACAAAATACCTTTTTATCCTTTACAAGAGTATCCTTTATTTTTGTAAGAGTGTGGCTCTGAAATATTTGTCCGCCTTTTCCTGGGGTGAAACTCTGGCATCTGTTGCTTTCATGTATGGGGGGGATCCTCGGGGCCCTTGTACACAATGGGACCTCTGTGAGGAGCCCCTGTTAGCATGGTGCTGAGAGGAAGTCCCCGCTTGGAGGAAGGCCTCTGCCCTCCCTTTTGGTTGAAGCTGCTTTCTCTTTGCAGCGTCGCTTGCTAAATGTTCTGCTATAACTACAGATCTGCATTCTGTTGCGGGATAACATAGTTTGACTTGACGGAGAATGGGCTGATCGGGGGTCAGAGCAAGGCAAGTGATTCTTTTTCAGTTCTGTACAGATCCAGGCATGCATTCAAAGAGATGCACACACTCATAGACAGTCATTACTGTCCATTGATAATATAAAAAAAGAACACACAGGAAGCTACTGGCTAGGTTTACCCTGTCAGCTTGATTTGGCCACAACTTTGTCTCAACCTGCCCACCTCTCCCTCTCACTTGTATGGAAACTCTAGACCTTTTGATGAGTGAGGACGTAGCGGGACTGCCAGAAATCGTTCTGCACCTGCCACATCAGCTGGGATTTATATTCAGAGCTTTTCTTCTGCCAAACATTCTCAAAAGGCAAAGAACTGAATGACATTTTGCCCAAAATGTCTTGACACAATGATTGGTACCCACAGTATAGGGCAGAGTGCATTGTGCAGACCCTGAGGAGTCATGTGATAATTGACAATGAGATGGAAATTTTAAGCCAGCAGAAACATGGATCATGTGTTGAAAATGTTTGGCCTTATTGACTGGCCTTATCTGGAGCCTTCAAATATTTAGGGGAGAGGAACAAATGACTGGGAGTAAGAAGCACTGATTTGTGCATTTTATTTCATGGTAATGCAGTTTCATAAGTGAGTGAGTGTGAATGAATCACTTCAGACAGAAGCACAGAGATCTGTGTCAAAGCTACACAATTAATTTAATGGGAGTCTACTCATTGATTCATGTTCTGTGGATGATGATCTACTGTATGTTCATTGTCTAATGATAAGATTAGTTTCCCAAAGTTATAATCTGATATGAATAAAATGTGGTGTAAAAACTCTTATGGCAAATATAAATAACAGGCTACCACAAATATTTTGATTATTATTTCTCACAAATATGAAAGTTTAAAAAGATGTAAAGAGATGTAAAAGAAAAATGACAAAATTACATTCTCATTTTTAGACATTTTATTAAAATTAAAGACAATTAAAATTAAATCTCTTGCTCAACTAATTGAAAAAAAAAAAAATATGACCATAATTAAAAACTGTGTTGGCATTTCTTTTTAAAAACAGTTATCACATTTCTTTTGCATACAAAACATTAAGGAATATTGGCCATGAATATTCACAGGACTCTCAGGTTTATACTTTTTTGTTCTTTTTTTTCTCAAACAATATTAAATAAAAATAAATTACCTACAGTATATATGCATAATTGTAGAATAGAGTAATTTTCTAAAGTTAACAAGAACACAAGACCATTCATTTGGTTTCAAGTCTACAAATATAAAGCAGTCAAAGGTTTTCCTGAAACAATAGAAAAAAACAAAACAAAACAAAACTAAAGTGATATTTCCCTATGCATTCATAAGGTCTACTTCCTGCTCAAGAAAGGATAATGACAACGAGTCCTCAAAGATGTCCACATGCCATAAATACATATTATCCCCCTTAATCACTGTCATGCTACGCTGTAATAGGTTTTGGTTCAGAATTCTACATGCAGATGTTTACACCAACATAAGGCACAACTAGTGGTCAACAGATTGCACCATCAATTAACGCACCTAACCAATCAGTTCCTTATTGACCTATTGGCTGTTTCTTTCTGATTTTATTCAAATTCTACTAAAAAATTACAGTTTTCTGGAACTGAAAAAATAACTTCTCCTCAATAAAATAAGTTGATGCCAACTAGTGTCAAATATTTCACAAGCATGCAAATATTACTCATGTTTCCATTTTTGACATATGGTTTCACAAGTCTCATGAAACCAGCATCGCCAAGTCATAGATTGTATAATTTGCCAACACCATGATGATTTTCCTTTTCTTAGATGACAATGGACCTAAGGAGACGGAAGCAGAGGATGACATCCCTGGGAATCGGTGGCTTAATTTCGTTGCCATCCAGTCGGAGGTAGCGCAATCGAGGAACACTTTCATTGATGGAGTCGTCAATAGCGTCGACGGAGACAGGGCACACATTGGAGCCACTTACACCTGTCAAAACACAAGGGGAGTTAACATTACAAGACTTATGATATTATTGCAGAATACCTCTATGATAAACAGTTCTATTCAATAGACAACTGAAATGAATGTCTATAATTAGGGAAAATGCCATGGACTCACTTTTGATCTTGTTGTGGTCGAGGTGAAGGTGTTCAAGGCCGGAGGGAATGAGGGGCACCTCAGTCAGCTGGTTGTGGGACAGCTGCAAGTCCAAAATGCTGGAGACATTAAACACATTTTTGGGAATTCCACTGCTCCCAAGTTTGTTGTGGTTGAGCCTCAGAAATGCCACTTTGGGCAAACCTTTGAAGTAGCTGGCTGGGATCTTCTCAATGCTGTTGCCATCGAGGAAAAGCTGAGTGGTGGTGGGTGGTAGGCCAAGAGGCATGCTTGCCAGCTGGTTCTTGGCTAGGTTGATCTGTACCAGGTTGTTTAGACCCTTCAGGCTCACCTCAGTCACGGCATCATCCATCAACTTGTTCCCCTGGAGGTCCAGGAGGCTAAGCTTTTCAAGACCAATGAAGACGCCAGTAGGGATTGTGGAGATGCGATTGCGAGAGAGACGTAGATGCTCAAGGCTGGCTGGCAGAGAAGATGGCACAGAAGACAAGAGGTTGTCATCCATGTACAGGTGCACCAGGTGAGACATTGTACCCAGGACACCCTCTTCCACTCCTTCACTAGTGATTTTGTTGCGGTTTAGGTTGAGCCAGCGCAGCTGTGTGGCATTACGAAAGGCATCAGCTGACAGCACTTCTATTAAATTGTTCTGCAAGTAGAGATACCATGTGTGTGGAGGGATTTTAGGGATGCTCTTCAGGTCTTTATTATCACAGTAGACAGCACGAGGGAAGTTGGGGGGACAGCGACACTCTTTGGGGCAGGCTTGGATCTGGGCCATATATTCCTCATAAGGCATGTCCTGGCCGATAATTGGCCCGACCAGGCACAAGATGCAGAGAAGGCTCAGGAGAAGTGCCATTTCACTGTGCAATCTATGATAGAAAGGAAGAAAAAACAATATAAGAACAATATAAGAGACAAACAGCTTTGTAATGTAACAGATTCCTTAAGGCATAGAGACAAATGAATGCTCCATATCTAAGGTAAAGATGAGCAGATAAGACATTATCATTTACAATAGATTGGGGGCTTTGAGGAATTAGGACCATACTGTAAACGATGACCCATGCAACTGTTTGCGCTGGAAAACCTGTCTGTTTTGTAATTCTAGTTTAACAGCTGTCTTGGTAAGGCCTTTAACACTGAGAAAGCTGACTAAGTGTTCACAAATGTAAACTGTGGCCCAATTTAGCCACAACCAGCGTTTGTTGCCTACTCTACCACTAATGTCATTATCACTGAATTCCAATGGCATCTGCCAGAGCTCTTTCCGGGTCATTTCTTTGTGACAGGTAAAGCTCCAAAGACAGGATGCAGAGCCAGGTCAACTTTAATTGCATTACTTGAAGACTTTGCATGTCCGTTGTAAGAGGTACACTGTTCATCAGGCTTTGATTGCAATGAATATGGCTAAGCACGCCACACAACGCCAAGCACGGCACAATGCATATGCATTTATTTGCAATGAGAACTGCAAATAAATGCATATGCAAACATGCACACATTTCAGCTAAGCATTGAACATATTCAACTGAAGAGAGCTAGATGGCTTCCTATTAGGGATGACAATTCAGGAAAAGGGCTATTGGCCTAGTAATAACCACTAACAGGGGTAAATTAGGAAAAGTGAGATGCAAAATGCCTGAAACAACAGAAGCAATGAAATGCAGAAGTACAAAAGCAAAAAAGAAAAGAAAGAAAGGAAAAAAGAACAAATTCCAATGTCATCTTCTAGCCATCCATCTCCTAATCCTCTACTTGATTCCTCTCAGCCGCTCATCTGGTGCTTGTTTAAAATTTTGATGCACTCCACGTTTGTCTGGAACTCATTTTGGGTAGGCCATCGTTTTCCATGGATGGGTGCACTTCAAAGACAAAGCCAGCACACCTGTTTTGAGAGATGTGCCCCTGTTTTCTAACCGTATAGGGGTCAAAGCCTCTTGACCAAACTTTGGAGTACAAGGTGTTGCGTAAATGGTAAAAGCGTGATTCATGATTCCATACAGATAAAACCTAGTCACTAAAGTTGCAAGACAAATGTCTACCAGACCAACCTATACCAACCCTGTCACTCAGACGCATCGATAGCTTGGCCTTTCAAAAACCCAGCTTACCTTAAACTCTGTAAATTTCCTCTTTCCTATGTCCTCCTTCAGCAAGTTGTCGAGCGTTGTCCCAAATGGCAAGGCTCTACCCCTCTACTCCCTCTATTTGTACCACTAGCTTTTTCATTCAGCTCGTGCCAACCTGCAACTCATGATGACACCAAAGCTTCTTTTGGCCAATCAGATTCTGCAAGGATCAAAGGTCATAATCCCATGGTATACTGTGCTAAGCCTTTTCATCCAAGACATGGCCCACTTAGGAACAGACTAATGCAAGCCTACCTGTTCCTTGTTTGCTGATTTCCACATGTACAACCCTTCCTCCCTTGGTGGCATGCGTGATCTGTTTTTAACTAAACTCACAAATCCCCAAGCGTCCTTTGCCGACCTTTGGGCTAATTTTATGCTGTTGCTGTCCACAGTGTGATCAGGATTAATTAATCTGCTTGATGCAAATTAAAAAGTCTTACAGTGTTTGCAGTTAACAAAAAATATGGGATAAACAAAAAAGTACACAAATATAGTTCCGTACAATTGCGATGTACAGAAGATCCAAGTCTCCAAGTGCAGTAAATGTAATTGAATATTAGACACTTCATGTATTTCTGTTTTATGGTCAATAAAACAGTTCAAGGATTGTGATTGTGATTGTGTCTCATTTTACATTATTAAGAAGGTAGGCACATTGTTTGGGCTCTACAGGTAAAGCATGAAGCACAAAGATGACGCACTGTACTTATGTACAAAACACTGTCTGCAGACATGAGAGGTAATGGTGTTATGGGAGGGAGGTCAGGCTTAATCTGGGGGGATTTTACGGCATGCCGGCAAAGCAAATTGTTTTTGCAGAAGCTAGCTAGCGTCAGGATTGGTGACCTGTCAGCATGCCAGCATGAGATTGTGCTAATTTCCAGCACTGACGGCAAAGGCTTGAATACAAGGATAATCCTAGCTGACTTGTGTGAGGATAGCAGCAACACTTATCTCTGATCAGCCATGCAAGCCAATTAGAGCTCCTCCTGTGTTTACCCTGGTGCATTTGTGAACAGTGATCATTCTTCTACACATGTTTGTAATCTTGTATGATCAATTACACAGCCATACGTTAGTCCCGAGTACATTTATAGGAACTGTTGTTTAGATGAATGGACACTTGTTTGTATACAGTTCCTGTACTGCCCTAAGATGTCCCAGCTGGTTAACCTAAAGTGACTCTTCTCTTTTTTTGCCTTCTCCACACCTTTATCTTCTTATGATAGCATCTTTAGTTATTTACAGATATGCCTAATTCTTGTTCTTGAAGTGTGAAGCATATAATCGTTTTTGAGCTCATAGTAAAGAAAAAAAACTCCTGTCTCTGAGCATCATGCACTTTGCTGTGAGACTGCAGAGGCTTTTGACCTTAGAATTACTTGGCATGCAACTCAGTCTGTTAAGCAACAGGACAGCAGGCTTGTAACCTCTACACTGACAAAATGCTTCCTCTCAGCCTTTCTATTACTATGGACCAGCAGGCCAATAAAAGCTTTGTGGATGAAATTGTCCATCTGATAAGTATTTAATACAACAATTACCATTCTATAACTGCACAGAGGGTAGGCACATCTGTCTTTTTACAGGCACTTGAAAAGTGAGAGTAACCAAACACTTATCCAAGGTGTCAGAAATGTGAATGAAGTTTAAAAATACAATTAATGATGTGTGAGGAACCAAGGATTAATGAAACTAACTGGAATTTATTTGCCCACACAAGAGATGGGATGCCCTTCCATTCACACAACAAAACAATAGTCATCAATAAGGTATGTCAACACTTACAATTAAATATCCCAGCTGCTGAAAATGGTGAGTCAGGGCTTCACAGATCTCTGCAAAATGGAACATATATAACTTAAAACAAATGTTGGCTACAATCTGTCTGACAGGCTAAGGAGAAACACATGCAGAGGAATATGATAATGCTAATTTCCTGCCAGGGGCTTTGTGTCTGAGCCAGCTATGTTAATTACACAATGGGTTGTCTTTGCACTGCATCGGTTTTGCAGGATTGGCTCCAGTTGATGGCTTTGCTGAAATCCACTTGATGACTTTGAGACATTTGGAAGGGTTAGCATTGCTTACTGCATACAGAGCTTAGAAAGTAACTGTGTTCATGGGTAAGTATTATGTGGAAAAAAACATGTCTAGCAGAAAAAGTGACTTTCCAAGATGTGTGTCATTTGGAAACTTCCAACAACCACAGCTGTTTTTTTCTTCTACATTCATTCATTTCCAGGTGTAAACGTGTTTGTAAAATAGTTGCAAATTGATTGATTACAAAAGTGTCTATCTATCTTAATTCTGATTTGAATTCATAAAATAAACTGACTGGAAGAAAAAAGACAAAACTACTTTTCACGACGGATACACCTACATCTTAATCTGCATGTCTTCTCTTCTTTTATTTGCAAAGCTGCATTACCACATTAATATATTACCTCTAAGTTTTGGAAAGCTGGCAGGGGTGCACCACATCAAAGGTAAAGATCAATCCAGTCAGATGCAAACCACTTGAAAAATGCACTGCACCTTTCACTCCTCCTCTCTCAAACAGATTTATTACAAAAGAAAGACAAGATCATCTTTACCTGCTTCTCCAGCTGCTGTGAGTGGTCTGCATGCAGCCAGTTTCCTCTGTTCTCCCAGTGATTAGCTCTGATGATTGTCCTCAGCTTTGGTGTCTCTGATGTGGTCAAGACTGAGCTAACCCGATTATTCTTGTGTTGTTATTGGTTTGAATTCCCCAAGGCTGCACCTTGGACATACACCGGTTGAATTGAGAGGATGGAGTATGAATTGTTGGTGGGAGGACGATTGTGTGTGAGTTGGGATGTCCCTTCAGAGTTTGTGTTGCCTACTTTTCTGCCAGCCCAGCAGTTTTTTTTTTTCTGCCTCTTTCGTTTTGTCTCCTCTTTTGTGAAGAATTTGAAGTCATCAGTGTGCTGTCGAGGGTTAAACTGCTGTCACCCCACCCAACTTAACCATTTGGTCTCCAATGGAGGATTTCCTCTTTACCCATCGCTCTGGGGGATGGGAGCATGACCAGTTTATGGCTCATTTCAGCTCACAGGCCTTTGGGGTGTGTTTGCAAGGCTGTCAGGTTATGTTAAAGAGGAGCATAGAGGGGTTTGCACTCACACCCAACTTTTTACAGGAAAATTCCCTTTTTTACAACCCAAGTCTTTCTTTTTGTAGTTTTTCCCATTACGACTATCAGTGATAATATATTTCTCGCTGACGTCACTGTAGAGAACTTTTACACAAGGTCATTGCCAGAAACAGCTTCACAATACAACGTCGTCTATTGTGGTTGAGCAGGAGCCTCAGACCACAAATAAAGTGAACCACTTATTTGGAAGTAAAAATCAAACTTTATTATTTTTATAGTGACTCACCAGTGAGATATCATGGAAAAATTTAAGGAGGAGACAACCATTTATTCGACTCGTACAACAATTGGTATTTATCCAAAGGAATCCAAACCCATATGCAAAGACAAAGACCTAACTCAAACTGTATGTGTGCTCATTAATAGTGCAAGTATATCTGCCCACTGTCCTGTTTTTCCAAGGTTACTGTCGAGTTTGAAGGAGGGTTCTTCTATTTTGTTGTTTTAGTCATGTGTTGCTCTAGGGATGGCAATGGTTGTCGAGCAGTAGGTCGGGCCACCTGACTCAAAAAACTACAGGATGGATTACTGTGAAATTATGATACCGACATTCATGGTTCCCAGATGATGAATCATAATGACATTGATGATCCCCTGACTTTTTCTTCCAGCGCCATCGTGTGGTTTTAAGCAAAATGGTTGGAAATGGAAAGTGGTAAAAATAAGAATGTGATCCCTCACTGGTTTCTCACCCATGAGCATTAGTTATATTGACCAACCAGACCCTCACATTTGTGGTGTTTTTGGGAAACTAAGGATGTTAGCAAATATGGGCACTTAAGGGTTAATACGGCAGTTGAAGCAGGAAGTAGTTCTGCAACACAATAGATTATTAAAGGAGTCATTTTGTGGTAATACCATGTTTAAAACCAATGTGAGTCTCATGTTGCAAGCCCACAACAGACACAAGTGTAAAGTTATGTTAAGTGGTGCAAGTGGTGCCCAAAAACTCTGCAAAGAAGCCAGTTAAAACAACAAATACTACAAATTTGTAAGTAAAAAAACAGAATGTTACTTTTAGAGCAGCACATAAATCTACTTTCACTACACCAACGAATGAAACTTAAAAGAGGGCAGTCTTTTCTGTCCTTTTTTGTCTCCTCTCCCCACCTTGTTAATCTGTTACTCAGTTCAGCTGTGTGTGTGTGTGTGTGTGTGTGTGTGTGTGTGTGTGTGTGCCTGTGTTAAGGCCACAGATGAAACATCTGGAGCCCATGTCCAAACCTTTGGGGAAAAGGGTGAGAAAATAAGAAATGAACAAGACAGAGAAATTAAAGAAAGAGAGCTTGAAGTAAGAGAGGGAATGGAAATATCCAAGAACAATAAGGTGAGAACTGAAAGCTGAGTTGAGTTAGTTAGACAGCAGATCAGGGTGGCAATGAATAGATGCAGAATATGAATAAAAACAGACAGAACAGCTGGAGACGGTCTGGACTGAAAGATGGTCTTTGGAGTTGAGCTTCCAGGCCGCAAATGCTGATTATACTTTCACTTACCGTCCCAAGTAAGAGGACGTGAAGCTTAAGGCTTTATAAAGGACTTTATTGTCTAGACACGAGCAGCAGGAGCTCTACTCAGGATTCAAATAAGGGCGACTCAGGGGGAAGAGGAGGAAATTGTCCTAGATTGGGAATAGGTACAAGTGACCATATGAAAACATGTGAAATGTGAAAAAAGTGGTTAGTGCAAACATGTAACATGTTGTAATCGTAGTGGCAGTGAGCAGACTGCTAATATTTTTACCTCCTGACTTGTATCAAGTTTACTTGGGCAATAATAGATAGAAAAGACCTTTAAATGATTCTAGTATTGGATGGCAATAGGAAGTGGTAAGATTTTAAAATTGCCTCCCATCCCATAATGACAGCCAGACAGCTACTGACTCTCATTTACATGAGTGGGTCAAATTTTAACTATAACTGACTTTTACAGCTGGATCTTATTACAAACACCTAGCAAGAATTAAATGGAACATCTGGAAGCCATTTGGATAATAAGTATAAATGCCACGAATCTAATCAACTAACCTACTGCCTTTAAATAGCGTCTGCTCTAATAAGAGTCTCTTGACTAATACTCTAACAAGAATCTAGTGGTTCCAGCACATATGGTACACATCAGCTAGGATTAGATGTGTCTTTACTGTTAGTGTACAGCTTTGCAAAGGCGCTATTGATTTTGTAAAAAGAAGTGACAAGTGAAAGTCAAGTACACGCCCAGAGACAATGAGCCCCCGTGGTTTATTACCCATATGCATATTGCAAGGAACCTTTTAGAGGATGTAACAAGAGGTTGTAGTTTATAATAGTTTCAAGGGAACCTATTTTTGTGTTTATACAGCGGAGGGACAGGATGAGAGCAAAAGTTCTAAAAGAGTACAAAATCGCATTATTTCAGATCTTATGATTACAAACAGAGCATAACTTGTGTATTTTGAGAATGCTTACTGTGGCTTCCAGACTTTTATGGACACTGATAGTCTTTGGAAAACATGAACCAATAATGAGAAGCAGACATTTTAAGCTCTGACATTATCCAGAGTTGCTTTCTGGTGATGTAGGCACAATTTGGTCCAGTTTAGTGGTCATTCGGAGTCAACGATACAACACTACATGCATAATAGCTTGTTTGGAGCTGCAGTTTAACCCAGCAAGAAGAAAAAGAGCTCACAAACACAATATCCAAGTAACATTCAATAAATGAATTACTGATTGTAGACAGCAACTGCTTAGTGTAATAACAAATGTGAGACAGCAGTGTCTTCTCCTCACCATGAATGTGAATCATATGTGCTCATATAAACAAAAAATGTTTCAAGTCAAAAAATATCCCAAACACCCTGCATCAATTCCATCATAAGATTTCTTTAATGGACGGTAAGCATTTGAGAGATGGTGCAGAAACCAAAAGGAATGTGCTGCTTTTAGGGTTTTCTTTCCCTCTGGCAAACTGTTAGACATACATTTCTCAGACCTCTCCAATCACCACAAGACTAAACGCACTTGGCCAAAAAACCTGAACAGAAAATCCCTGGAATTCTTATTCCTCTTGGTTGTTTTCAGGTAACCTACTGAGATGCAGAACAGTAGAGAAAATAGAGCTAAGTAACGCTTCTCTCTGCAGGAAATAAGCATGCTGATACAAAACCTCTTGATGACCCCACATGAATTGTTTCTAAAAATGGTTCAGTATTGGCAGTAAAAAAAAATGTAGACAAAGATTATAGAAGAATGACATATATCCACTACAAATGGTGGCAACAAGCAGACGGAGGATCCCCCGACCTGCCAAATATGCAGACTGAATTTTATCTTATTGGAAGCAAGACAGTCCTCTTTTCAGGAAACTGTTTGTAGTGAAGCTGTACAGACCAAATAAAGTATTTTTTAAACTGTCCTGGAGAATTTGTGGTTTCTATCTGAGACAGTTGGAAGGGCAGATTTACCCAGAAAATATCTTAAAGCTGCAGTATCAAGTGAAACCCTGCAACCCCTGCATCCCTCCAGGACCAGCAGTTTTTGTTCGACTCCAGCTACACTAAAATGTGGGACTAAACAAAGATGATAGGTCCTTTATGTAGCTTCTGTAAATGAATGACTTGAGTGACACAAAGTCAAAACTAGGGAATAACAAAATGCAACTGAAGACCACAATATAAGGAGCTTTGAAAACAGCTGGGGCATGAAAGAAAACGGTATATCCTTGACACTCTAACAAGCTTTGGAGAATAAACAAAAGGATCTTTCGTCTATCTAAAAAACTCTTTTTTTTTCCTTTTGGAAATTGCAGCAAATGTTATGACTTCATCACAAAGATATTGGCCAGAAAGGAAGATGGCAGCTGCCGAAAGTTGCACAGCACACTCCACAGAGTTAGTAGTAAACTGCAACCAGTCACAAACTGTTGTAAAGCTCAGGTGAAACCTGCAAAATCTGAAACTCCTGGATATACTGTATTTTGTGTGTAGATTGAATGTTGTTTTGTTTGTTGGTGCAGAAAAGAGGAACTTATATTTTCACGTGTTTTAAACCATTATAGAGCAATACGATTCTTTCCATTCCAGCTCTGAGTACAGAACATTTACTGTAACTAATGGTTTTATTACAACAGCCAAACACACACACACACACACACACACACACAGCACACACCACCACACACACTTCACACCTACCAGCAACACACATCACATTTTTATATATATTATATTTATATATATATATATATACATATATATATACAGTATATATACATTACTCCCTAGCAGCCCAAGAGTTGTCTTTATTTGTAGCTAATTATAGATTTATAAAGAGTTAATATAGGATTTACATACAATTAAACTTTTGGTTACAAATTATAAACCCTTCATAAAGGGTGCCTTGTTAAAAAGTAGTACAGAAATTATATTTCTAAGCACAGTGTTCCTGTCAGCATGATGTCTTTAACAATTTGTTTCCACAAATGCTAGACATTAATTACAGACGGTTTAAAAAGTGATATCATACAAATATTTTGGAAACATAGTTTATTCAACTGTGTTTGGTTTCCACACAGTAAATCCAAGAGCAGTTACTGAGTCAAAGGCCACATAAGAAATCACAATAAAAAGACAAATTAAACCTAGACAGAATGTGATATTCTAATAACATAACTTCAATCAACACGACTGCACTGCCAAGTTGACTTTGTATTGTTAAAAAGCATTTATCAATTATGGTAAACAACAACGTAACAATGAGAGGACCTTAACTGCAAAAGCTGTAGTTTATTATCAAAGAATGGTACCATTGGATGCATGCAAGTAATGCAAATGTTGTATACAAATCAGCAATGTGCATGACAGTGGACAGCTGGGAATTAAGCAACGTGAAGAAACAATTTCATTTGTGATTTCTGAAAAAGAAGGAGAAGTTCAGTATGAGAAGTATTTACTTTTGAGGATAATGCCAGTGTCTTCTGTACTTGTGTCATTTATTGTACTTTCTAATGCCAAAGCCTGCAGAAATATGTCAATCCTGCTTTAGTTTGGGGAAGTTATTTCTCAAATGGACATTTCTAACTTCACCACTGGTGGGTAAGAAAAGACAGACACAAGTTATAAAGACTGGTATTCTCCTTAAAAAAAAATACTGAAAATTTCACTGCAATGTAACTGCTATTTTACAGTTTGATCATAATTTCTCACATAGGCATTACACACTGAGTATGCAATCCTCATTCGCTGGTCCTTTGCACAGCAATGGATTAATCATTGTATATCATACATGCTAAACACTGTAACATAGAAGACAGACAACAAAAGGGCACGACAAGTGAACTGAGACACTGAAGAACTTTTAACCATTGTTTACTCCATTATGTCTGTGTTCAATATAATCAAATGCAAGTTTGGAATGTTTAAAGTGTGTGTTTTTAATCAAAGCACATGAATTAATTTCTATTCATAGAACTTTTGGTAATTTACTTTATACATTGTCTATTGTAATTTCATATTTCCCCCCTCTTTTCTGCCTAATGTTTTCATGTTTTCAACAATTAGAATATTCATTCAGATCTACAAATACAAAGATTATGAATTTAACAATCTGATTGCATATTTCACAAGATGTGTATGTTCAGATGTATGTATTGTATCTTAAATTCACCCAGCTTTAGATTGAGTTAAGATATATATACAAATGATGGAGATGCCATTACAATACCCCAGATTTGCATAATACTAGTTGTCAGAAGCAGGGACATGTCAGTATTTCAAAATGTGGGATAGTATGACATTGAAATCCACAAGGCTTTCAGCTGAGCTTTGTCATGCTAGTAGGGGGGCGGGGTTGGGGGGGGGGCTTCAGGATGTCATAGATCTGAGGGAGGTCCTTATTCGAACATGATATCTGAAGCTTGGCGCAGGCAGTTGGAGGCGTCAGGGGGCATGTTGCTATGCGAGACATTGTTGGCGTCCAGACGCAGATGCTTCAGACGGGAAAAGTTCACGGGATCAATGTACTTGCAGAAACTTGACAGGTCAATCTCTGCAAAGAATCAAAAATGGAGAGAAAGTTATGGAAGTTTGGAGAAAAACAAAATACTTAAAAGTTATAATATATCTTTTAATGCCTGGGGTTAAATGTACCACGTGGAGTTTTTTTTACCACCAGCTCTACAGAGCAATGTTTTTACAAGTGGGCCCCTGTTTTGATGACTCATCTTGAACTCCAGGTGACACATAAATTTATCCAGGCAAATGTGATTTGGGCTAACCTTGCCCATCATATAAAACCACACTGGAGCGTCAGCAATTTAGACCATAGCAGGAGGTGTGTGTTTAGATGTCAGTTCTTTTCCAAAGAATGTGGTTGAGTTAAAATTCACCCCTGTCCTCCTCCTGATCTAACAATGTGGGTGAGGGACTTGTGGGTGGAGGCTAATCGTCCTGCAGTTTGCAGCTCCGTTTCTCTTTACAGCTTTGTATTGCACTGTATTTGCTAAGTCACGCCCACTTAAAAGCAACTCAGTTACATCTGATGGATTTGATTTAAATCCTTCTCATAATGAAACCCTGCCCACATATTCTGTTTCATTCGGAAAAACGTCACATCACTGAAGCTAAAGATGCTCTAACTTCCGTTTCACTGCGAAACTCTGAAAATATCTGAAAATGCTAATAAGCATAGATTAGCACTCACTGGTGATCTCATTGGCCTGGAGGTAGAGTTGCTCCAGCTGCACGTTGATCTCAGGGATGGACTGCAGCTTGTTGAAGGACAGGTCCAGCTCCACCAGTGATGTCACATTGAACACACCAGCAGGGATGCCGCTGTCCACCAGCTTGTTGTGGGAGAGCCTTAGGTACTGCAGCGCGGGCAGCTTGTTCAGGTATCCGGCTCCGACGCCGTCAATGTCGTTGTAGTCAGCATAGAGGATTTCCAGTGAACTGGGGACACCGGCTGGCAGCTTCTTCAGCTTATTGTGGCTCACATCCAGGGACAGCAGCTTCTTCGGCCCTTTGAATGCCCCTGTGATGGCATCAGAGGTTAGCTGATTGTGCTGAAGGTTGATGGAGGTCAAATTTTCTTTGTCATTCAAGAGTCCAGAGGGGAACTTGGACAACTTATTGTACATTATCTTCAGCTCATCAAGGGACTTTGAGGGAGGGATGACTGGCTCTGTGAGGTTGTTATGGCTGAAGAATAGCTTCTCCAGGGCAGTGAGTTTGTCGATTGTTCCCTTTGCTATCTTAGCATTGGTGATCTGGTTGTTGTCAAGTACAAGCCAGCGAAGTTCAGCAGTAACATTATCAAACACTCCTGCCTTGATCTCTTCAATCTGGTTGTTCTGGAGGTACAGGTACTTGATCCCTGTTGGGACTATGGGAAAAAACTTGAGCTTGCGGCTGTCACAATACATGGCGGAGGGGAAGTTGATTGGGCACTCGCATTCTTGATTACAGTTGGGCCCTGATGGTCCTAGCATGGAAACGGGCTGGTAGTCATAGTCATAATACTGGCACAGGGCCATACTGACCAGTATGGCCAATAAGGGTACACGCAGAGGGGACATGGCTTCTGGGGATCCAACAGACAGAAGGGAAGGGGAGGCAGGGAATAACAAAGAAAAGTTAGAGGTTAGATTTGCCAAGAGCAACAAAATGTAAAACCATAATCTTAAACAGAAAAAGACAAATGCACTTGCTTTATTCAAACCCCTGCTATTGTTGGAGGTGTGGTGGTAAAAAGGGCCGTTTGACAATTTTAGCTGATGTTCACATAAATCACAATTCAAACGTGTTTGATTAGAATAAGGGAAATGAAGGGGAAAAAAGAAATAAACTATTTCTTTAAACTGTGATGCAAAACAGATTACAGTCTTGCCCTCCAACACACACCATAGCCCAGTGCCACACCCACTCCCCAGAGCGTTAGTGTACAAAATCGGTCAAGAGTTCATGTCAACCGATTCGAGTCCTACATGCCTTGATTCAGTTATCTGTGTCGAGCCACATCATTACAGCTGCAGATTGAACCAAACGGTTCTGCTCCCAGAACCACTTTATCTATCAACTTGATAGATTTCTACATGAACCAGCAATGGGAGCAATAATGCAATGCAGATGTTCCAAGAGCACACAGACTGTATACACAGACAAATATTACACCACCTTTAAGGCATTTTTTGCATGTGAAGCAGTAAAAAAGTGGTTTTCATCATCATTTAGGTTTATAAACAATGAAGGAAATACATAGAGGGAGGAACTAAAACCAGACCTAAAACTAGTTTAGGATCATGACTAAAAAATCAACCCTGCAGACAATGCAAAACCAGAATGATGAATTCCAGACCCATGAAAAATGCAGACACACACTGGATCCAAGTGCAACAGATTATTTTCCAAAGCCTAACGTCCCTTAAAATCTATGAAACAATCATAAAAGGCACCGTAGAGCCACATAAACATGTAAGATCTAGGCTCATACACCACTCTTGCGTTTCTTAATCCAATATGCAAATCATATAACTTATTTTTTCTTCCGTGCTCTGGTATTCTCGCCTTCTCTGCTGCAGCACTAGCCCATGCCCAAAAGCCTAGCAGTGACAGCTGATAATCCCACCCGGAAAACAGAAATAAAGAGGAATAATCAAACAGGAAATCACAAATCCATGCTTCCACATGCAAGCTTACCTGTGCTTCTCTCTTTTCGTGTGTGTGGGGTGGAGGGCCAGTAGGTAAGAACAGTGTGGTGTTCAAAAACTGGAAGTCTCTGGAGAAAAACACAGAGGGAAAGAAGGAGAGAGGGGGAGGAGAGAGAGAGAGGGGTAGATGGAGAGACAAAGAGGAAAAAAAGGAGGAGGAGGAGGGGGAGGAGAGGAGGCTTCTTCTTCCTAAAGTCATTCAGATCGTCATACAAATTGAAGATGTCATCAGCGTGAATGTCTGGGGGGAGCATCATCCAAAAAAGTGCAGTTACCTAACTATGAGCAGGTGCAACAGGACACAGGAATATTGCACCACAGAAAAAGCTTAAAAATGTATAATGGTGTTGATATTACCTCCACCTTTCCCACCATTTCTGACCTTTACAAATCAACCACTTCTTTTGCATCATTTAATTGTCCTCCAAACAATCACCCCAACGTGTTTGCAAGATGGTGCATGGAAAAATCTAAAGAGTAGGAGAAGCAATGTGTGGAAAAATGTGAAAATGATCTCTGGCAGCTATTTTAACCCAGCCGCCGGTTATGAGACTAAATTCAACTCTACCTCTTGAGACGTGAATAAGGCTTTGGAAAATCTGACAAAAAGGTTACGGGAGAGCCAAAGAAGACTTACATAACACTTGACGCAAACATTTCTTCTCTTCTGTTTTCGAACAAAGCCATGGTATTGTAAGGGGAGAAAGGTGGGCTGAAGCAGATCCAATTGATCCCATATGTCTTTGCTGTAAATTATTGTACTTTTCAGTCTTGCGCCCCCACATTCCTGTCCATGCACTTTAAAGCCCTGCAATCATCCCTCTCTGCAGTATACAAACAGTGAGACAAATGGATAAAATGGACCAGGGTGGTGTTTTACTCATCTCAAAGGTGGGGTTGAAGAAGAATCGGGTGAGGGAGAAAATGGCCAAATGTTTCTCCCATTTGTTGGTGGACGTCCATCATGCCGCCAGAGCATGCTGGGAATTGACGCCTGGATTTAATTGGTCGTAGTGCGGTCTGTTACTCTACTCACATACCATTCTAAGGGACCATGTTGGACACAGTTGTGGAAAACTTTCATTCCTCACATTCTAACCCAAGAGCTCTGATTTCACAAGATATGTAATGAAAAAAAATGTATGTCGTTGTTTTGCACATTTTTCTTTTTCTCCCACAACAGATAATCAATTTAGCAACATTTAAGTGGCCTTTTCAACTGTTTTGAGCTTGGGTTTTAATTGCATACTGTTGCTCTGGCAGTCATTTGGCTTGCTCATTATTAATACGGTGTTCTGTATGTTGCTTTTACATTGGTTATTGCATAAAACCACAATATTAGCAGCACTGCGAGGCATCAGTCATTGTTATGGCCTCCCACATTCATTTTAAACTGAATACATGGATGGAGAGAGCTTAACCCACTACAGGGTTAAGACTTGCATTGACTGACCCAAAGGAAGTCTAGCAGACGGCCCATGCATCTCCAAAATCTGCTGAGCAAAATGTTGGAAATTATCGGGCTGATTGCACAAACTGTGAAAATGAGGTTGAAAACAAAATGGAATGTCCCTTTAATGTGGACCACTTACGTTTCAAACAAGGGCAAAGTGGTTTGAAACAGTATGAGGATGAAAACAAACTGTTTGTCATTCAAGTATACAAAGCACCTCAAAACCTCCACAATAAAAGGGCAAGCAGTGATCTCCAACAATACGTCATATAAGCACACTTTTTAATGCATCTCAGTTTTTTGTTGCAAGACAGTAAAAAATGTCCCACATCTATTTTCTCTCTCTGGAGCTGGATTCTCTGAATCTCAACTTAATTTGACCCATTCAGTGAAGCTCTATATTTATTTTTTTTTCCAGTATTTTTATGGCTTTGTACTTCTCCTTCTTTGAATCATATCTCTCTATCTGGAGAAGTTTCTTTCCTCTTTTTACTCCCATGTGTGTTACTCACATTCAGTGATGGATTACTGCAGAGTCACAGTTGAACAAAAACCAAACACCAAGCAAGTCATTAGTATTGTCATTAGTAATGTTGAGTTAATAGTTCAAAGCCCCTTAAAGGTCACTTAACACATGTAAACAATCAGCAGAGAAACTTTGAAGGAGTATGACATGTGGGAATATATCTTTTTAAAATCTCACTCATTTTTATCAAGTCGTATTTTACCATTCATATCTTCTTAGAACAAAAACTACTGTCTGAGCCCACAATGTTCAGCTAAGCAATATTTGTTTTCTTCTATTCATTCTTAATGAAATGGCTCTCGCTAATGTAAAGGGTTGGACAGTACTACTAATTCCGCTGTGAATCAACTCCCCATTCGGCAGCTTTCAGATCCCTGTTTAAATTGCTAGTCAGGCAATAAAGTTTCAAGTTGGGTGAAACGACCTTTGTGTGGTTCATCTGCTTTGTAGATTTCAGCAAGTCTTCAAGTTTGTCCCAATCTTAAGGTGAGTCCTTTAGGATATGAAATGTGTTATGTGATAGTCCAGATTTTTAGAGTTGATTGATCGATTTTAAGGATTGCCCAAACTCAAACATTAAACAACTGAATGATGAACAATGGACTGTGGGATACCAAGAATTTATGTCCTCTATATTCAGGCAAAAGAAAGCTCCACTTATGAAGATCCACCCCTTGATTAAAACCCTTGATATTCACCTACATGGTAATACAGAAATAGTAGAGGGCTGACATGTGGGTTGTCTGCACACCTGGTGTCATGTAAGACCATGCAGCACATGTGGTTCATTAAGCTTTGTCTTTATTTTGATTCTGTCCTCTTTTTGTCCCAGTTTTGAATCCCTATCTCTATGCACTGTAGCCTTTTTGTGTCACATTCACAACACACCTTGATGTGTTACCTCTCTGATGCATGGTGCTGCCAAATGCTTCATAACACATGGGAAATACAGTTATCCAACTTAGTTACCACCTTTTTTTTTTTTTACATGCTCCATGTAGATGCCCCAACCAGCAAGTATGAGTTGCAACTGCACTCCTATAATTCATTTAATACATCTAATTACTCAATTGGGCCATCAAATGATTAATTTAAGGGCAGGAATGCCTAATTTGTGCGCATATATGATCAAAAACTATCCTCTTCATACTGGGTAAAAGATTGACAAACCTCTCAGATGGTGCTTCCCATTCATCCAGACACAGTTCACATTCGGGCCCTTCATCAGCAAACTGACAAAAATATTTATTTCTTTGAGGTTGGCGTGTTTTTACCTCTGTTACAGGCAGTGTTCTTGTGTCAACCCAGACTTCAGATGTTCCAGACTGTTCACATAGTGGAGGCTGGAAAACAAACATTTTGTCATATTGCTTAGTCACTGTGCTTCTCCTTGAATGTGTTGATGTCTGCCTTATGCTGTCATATCCTTTCCATTAGACCAGATGGTAGACATTGGCTTTCTGCAGTTTTTTCCTAATACTTTGTTTGTGTGGTTTAATTTCCCTGTAAAAAAAAAAGCCAAGTGAGGAGTTATATCAGAGTTTAAATTCATTAAAAGTGAACAAATCCTGTTTGGATTTCAGTGATGTTTTCTTCTATGCAGTATATGTAGAAAAAGGACACAAAACTTGGACGTGGGATGGAACAACAAAAACTTGGATGAATTTTTTTCCATTCATTGAATTTGAATGGCTGACCCAGATATTTTTTCTTTCAAAAGTTAAAGTAACATGCAGCAAAGTTCCTGCCTAAGTTCCTGCCCCACACCTCCTCCATTTTTTTCCTGTGAAAGGTCCACTTCCCCAGCCAAGCCTGCAAAATAAACCAACATTACTCTTTAAGCTACATTAAGCACTACAGTTCACAGTGAATAATGCAAAGGTAATAGTCCTACCTATCCCACTGAGAATCAACATTTCAGACTGCAGTGCTGTGCAGCTTTCAACTGCCCAGATATTTTTAGCCATGCTAGCTAACTAGCGTTTCAGTGGCTTTTAGTCTTGGTTTGTTGGTTTGAAATATAAAAACAGTATCTTTTCATAGAGTGCTCTGGTTGCCTAGGGGTTTAAGATGCAGACCATGTAATCAAACAATATAAGTTCATAAAAAATCAAAGGGCCTGTACCTAGCTACATGCAAGCTAATTTTATGCTAGCAGCCTAATGTGAAATAATGGAGAGTTAAAATAAATCAGCCAATTGTATATACGTATATAGCCCAATGTTATAAATCACACAAATTTGACCAGTAGGAAATGTGAATATCGTGTAAGTCAAAGGGACCTACATTGTAAATTTTATAAATCTTGTATTTGAGTCTTGTATTTGATTGTTTGAAATGCATTAGGGAAAAATTTCATACTATCTACTTTTTTAAATTACATTTTTATAGATGCATTAAACATGGGAAATGTATTCAATTCTCCTAGAGGTAACCTAAAGACAAAGCCCTCAGATAAAGGAAAACAAGGGGCTGCTTTCTACAAGGTACACATTGTGCCCTTCTGTGCATGAATGTTTGTTTCTTTGAGGGTTGGCTGCCTTTAACTGTGTTTCTGGCATTGTTTTTGTGAACTAGAAAGCTGTTCCAAACTGATCTTATTATGGAGGCTGGAAAACACATATTCTAACATTTTCGCTTAGTCAGCCTTCCTCCCCTCAAATACTGGCTTCCTTACTGGCTTTTATCACCGTTTTTCAAACAATTTATTTGTCCTATTACATTGAGTTCCTGTTACATTTGAGTTGCTTGTTATAATGGGAAGTGATGGATGATAGCCTCTAACAAAAAAGATAAAGGTTTTGGGTTTTTGAATGGTTCTGACTCAAGTTCTGACTCATGTTTAAAGTTTGATTATGTGAAACCATTCACAGGAAAGCATAGCCAATAATGTTACACAGCATATGCCAACTATAGACATTTGGTTGCAGATATATGTTAATCATGCTCTGTTAACATATGGTCTTTTGCATGTAAGCAACATACTGTTTTTAAACACTGAGTGTCTGATGAGGGTCAACATAACAATGGATTAATTGCAGTAAAAGGCAAACAAAAGTCAGTATATACAGTAAGTTATATAACTGATATAAC